ATCTTTTTTTTTCTGTTGGATACATTTCATTTGGTTATTATTAGCATCATCATCATCATCATTATTAATATCCATTTTTTTATTACCGATCAACGAAAAAATAAAAACGATATTAACCAAATATTAGATGGATAAATGGTAATGGTAATGCATAAGCAGCAACCTGGAAAAAAATGGATATTGTGAATATGCAATTGCAATAATAGGCTTTATCTCATTTTTGGGCAAAAGAATTTTGTTTGTTCATTTTTATATTCATTCATTTTGAATACCGGTACATGATTTTTTCTCTCTCTTGCCTATCATTCATTCCTTTTTGATTCTTTTCAAAGAATTTATTTCATTCCAAGTTGATTTCACTGATGGCAATTATCTATAATCCATAAAAAATGAAACTACATACACTTTTTTTAATGGCAAAATTATGATGAATATTTTAATATGTTTTTTTTGCTGTTGGTTGGTTGTGACAGGTAAAAATTTAATACTGATTTTTTTTGGCTTGCCTACTGGCTTGATTTCTTCATTTTTTTTGGGTTACCTTGCTTGCTTCCACCAAAAACAGAATATAATTCATAATTCATTCATATGACATTTTTGTTTCATTTGCAAAGAACTATCAATGATGACATATATGGGAATCCGATTCAAAAAAAAAAAAAAGAAAAGAAAAATGTTAAATGATGATGATGATCTATGTATTTTCTATATAAATAACACACCAAAAAATACAAATTTCCTGAATGTTAAATCACACACACAGACAATCATGTACATGATGATGTTGTCTGTACATTCATACATTTTCGATCGATCATTTCCTTATTTCTCTCTCTCCTATTTCATCATTAATTCATTCATATTTCATTTGTATGTGTTTTTTTAATATTTCGTTGGTTTTATATTGGATTCATTCATTTATTTTTTTTTTGCAGTCGGGAAATCCTTGAAATTCCGGATTTGAATGTATTTTATTTTGATTCTATGACATCTATGATGTTATGTGCATAAGTTGTGAATACACATACACACACAATCTTTTCACGTGACATTTCATTTCACAAATAACACGCGTATTTTCCATTAATAATTTTTTTTTTGTTTTGGATAAACATATTATGTATATCGAATAATAATAATAATTGAAAATGGATCTATTAATTGGAATGTTATGTTATGTTTTATCATCATCATCAAACAACAACAACATCAACAACAATAACGAGAAAACATCATCATCATCATTTTTTTCAGGGGCCATCCATACCAAAATGATGATAGTGATGAATTTATTTATATAATATATTGCATTCAGTGGTATGCCAGAATATTCTAGGGTTATTATCAAAGCGAAATGAAATTTCTCATTTTTCTTCCATATGTTTTACAGGCGAGACTATTTGGTTGTCTCTTTGTCCAATGAAAGTGTGTTCAACAAAAAAAAAACTTCTGGTTTCCTTTTCTATTTTTTTTCTGGGAACAATATTTCGATTTTTTTTCTCACACACACTGTACTACCGTATTTTTTTTTCAAAAAACATCCAATGTTGTTTAAATAAAAATCGGTTGTCGGTTGGTTGGTTGGTTGTAAGCGATTGAATAATGCTTTTTTTTCTTTTGCTTCGGTTGCTGTATCTTGTGTAAGTTTAGATTCTTTCATCATTCATTCATTCATTCACTTACTTACTTTCTATGTTTGTGTTTGAGTATATGTGTTTAAAAGATTTTTCTTTCTTATTTTCGGTACATTGCGGTTGTTGTTGTCAATATTTGGTTATTATTGTTCATTCTGCACCCCAAAAAACCATACCCGCATGAATTTTTGGAACAGGGTGAAAAATTTAAATATAGTGACTAACAAAAGCTAATCGTTTTTTTTTTGGTGAAGTCAATTTGAAGTAAATTATTTACTCAAATTAGTTTTCTTTTTTGGTTGTTGTTGTCGTTATCATCATCATCATTATCAATAAATGACATATATAAGAATAATTTGCATATTCTTCAATTTTCTTTCTTTCTATCGTTTTTTTTGCTAATAATGATTTAAGAGAAAAATAAATAAATAAATAACTGAAAATAATCATCATCATTATCAGAATGATCATTACATCAGGTTAAATTAGCGACAGATAGAGAGAGAAAGATGGAAATTAACATTCAATATAATTGAACAACGACAACAACAAATTAACTTTGAGATTCAATTCTAGAAAGTAAAGCATTGTTATTTTTTTATGATTGCTTAATATACGGAAATGATGACAATATTATTACATAATCTTATTGAAAAAAAGTTGTCTTTTTTTTAAATGATTCATTAATCATTAATTACAATTTTTTTTTCAATTTGAAATTCAATCAAATAATGATTATGATGATGACGACAATCAAATGCTTCAAGTTTTCAAGAACAAAATGATTTTTTTGAAAACAAACAATCAGAATTCAGTTTTTAATCACCAACGAATGAATTTGGTCATCCACCAAAAACCATAACATAACATTGATAGACATTCAATGTGCATTTAGATGGAACAACAATGTTTTATTGTAATAATAATTCCCTTGACGAAACTAAGTCAGTCAGTTAGTTGAATTTACTTTTTTTCAACGGTATTTGAAAAACTTAACAACAACAACAACAACGAAAATACTTTGAAAAACAAGCCAGTTGTTTTATGTTTTTTTTTGTGAAAATTTCACTTTTTTAAAGTGAAAAAAAACTTAAACGAAACAAATTCAAGGAGCCCAAGGAAAATAATAGGAGAAACAAAAAAATCGGTTTCTCTCTCTCTCACTCTCATTCTTTCGGTGTTTAACACTACCGTTATTTTTGTTTTTTTTCTCGACAAAAGTCTCACTGCAAAAATACTGATAAGAGATGTTGATGATGATGATGGCGCCCGGTGATGATCAACACTTCATACACACACCAACACAAAGAAGTTAAATGAAACACAGAAGTTTGCCTGTGTAAAAAGTAAATGAGGGTTGAAAAAAAAGTAACGAAAGAAAACAGAAAATGATCAGTGATTTATTAGGTAATGATGAATACTATTTTTACACTATAAGGTCCAAAAAAAAGAAAAAATTCTCTGTGTTACCGTTTATGTTTTTTTCCTGTCCATTTATTTTCATTGAATGTCGATGATGTATGATGATATTTTGTTGATGATGATGATGATGTATAGTTAATATCCCCAGAAAGAAAAAATAATAAATAATATACGTTTGCTGCTGTTGTTTTTTGCTTTTTTTTTTTTGGTTATTATCATCATCGTATAATGTTATGAAATTTTTCTATTTTCTATTTTTGTTATCAAGATCAATTTTATCAATAAAAATAGCAGCAGCAGCAGCAAACAAATTGTTTCAATTTTTTGTAAAGGTATTTTCATTCATGCATTCATTCATATGAATCAATTGAATTTATGATGAATCGAAAATATGCTAAATTGATTGATTCAAAATGTTTAGTTGTTTTGTTTGTTTGTCGATATTGATAATATACATTGTCTGTTTGTTTGTTTTTTGTTTTTTCAACAAACAAAAAATTCGGGTACCTTGCATTAAGAACAACACATTATTTTGGCTGCTTTTTTTTATATCAAACATAAGCCGATTATGATTTGTTTGAAAACAAAAAACAAAAACAAACAAGAAAATACTGTTATTATTATGTGTGATGACTTTTACTTTGACACTTTCAATTCTTTTTTTTCTTTTTACTGGTAATTTATTATAAATAACATCATCACTTTCTCACCCAAAGTTTATCTCTATGGCTAATTAAGATATCCATATTTGGATTTTCCAATTTTCAGAGATTTTTTCTATGGGTTTTTTTTTGCTGTTTTGCTGATGTTATTTTGGAAATGACAACATCTAAATAAACAAAACAAAACGACAAATAATAATAATTGAGAATTTATATTTACAATTCATTCAAGTGAATGAATTGTAAATGAAATTAATCAACAAATTTTGATTGATTTTCATCATTATCTTCTGGTTGTTCGATTTGGGTAAACAAAACCAGAAATAACAACAACAACAACAAAAAAGAGTTACAAAACCAAAATTGATGTTCAATGATTCTATTGAATATTGCTACATTTGTTTGTTGGATGTACCGGAAAATTATATTAGCTGATGATTTGATTCAATGTACCAAACAACAACAACAGCAAAATAATGATGTCGGTGACCAGAAAAACAAGAGAATAAATTAAATTTCCATGAGAGATAATTATATCAGAATTCTCATTTTGTCTATTTCATCATCATCAATATTTTTTTTTCATTAAAAATTTGTTTGCATTTTTCTTTCAGGGTGAAAAAAAAGAGTTGCAAAAAAAAAACAATTGATATTTGGTTTAGTTGAATGAATAGAACAAAAACAATTTCGAAAACCAAAAAAAAAATTTGACACCATGTTTGTTTGTTTGTTTCATCAGATTAATTATCTTAATCTGATGAAGAAAGCCCTGATAAATAAATGTTTTGTCAATCTAGGAACAAAAAAAATGGAATAAAAACCCGACCATATCGTGTTCTCTGGGTCTATGTGGTTTTGTTTTTCTTTTCCTTTCTTTTCTGACAACAACATTAAATTTTTAATCTTTTTTTTCCTCACTGTTGGTCGTTTCATTTTTTTTCTCTATAAAAAAATTTGGATCGGGTTAACAACAACCAGGGAATTTGGGCAAACAAAAAAAAAACTTTCATGTTTTCAATTTTCAATTTTTTTTACTTTCTTTCTCTCCACATAATTACCATTATGATTGTTAAATGACATAATGTTGGTTGGTCTCCCTATGATGATTATTATTATTATTATGTGATGTGAATGGATTTTGTCAAACAAACAATGTTCTTGTTGATGACAAATATGATCTCTCTCTCTCTCACTCACTCTCCATTATTTATGTTTTCTAATGAATTTTTCTTCTCATTTTTTTTTGTTCATTTCATTTCATCATCAACAAATTACATTATAGAAGCTGAACAACAACAACAACCAAGTGTTGCCATAATGACTGGCCAACCGGATGGTACAACATTATTGGATGGACAAATAACAGTGAATAGCGGTGGTGGTGGCGGTCATCAATTGTGTTCATCATCAATGATGAATAATAATTGTTCAAATTCAATATGTCGTATTGAAATTGATGGAAAAACTATGGCTACTGCTGATAATAAAAATCCTAATGATACTCAAAATCATCAAAATCATAAATTACAAATAGAATTGGAATGTTCAAAAATACGTATACAAAAATTAGAACAACAACAAAAATTTTTATTGGAAAAAATTCAAATACAATCAAAACAATTATTATCATTAAGTAATTATGAATCAAAACGATTTGAAAATTTAGATCAATCTAATCAAACAAATGGTTTGATTCGTCATTATGAATATCTTTATTCACAAGGTAAATTTTGATTTGATTTGATTTTCCATTTGATTCAATCAAAATAATGATAATTTTTCTAAAAAACTACTGCTGTAACATCATGTAATCATTCTTCGTTTGTTTTTTTCTTACCAAACAGTACGTGTCGATGTGATAGATGCCTTGGATCAATTTGATGAATTAAAAGATTCAAGTGAGCTTAAAATCAAATTACTTTTCTCAATCATAGTGGTAAGTGTAATCATTTTTTTTCTTCTTTTCTTGTTGCTTTTTTTGGTTTCCAAAATGATTTTTTTTTTAGTTTAGTTTAGTTTACTTGATACACAAGATTGACCATCACTTAAATAAACTTTATTTAATGTAATGATAATATTATCTTCCTCTCTCTCTCTCTCTCATTCTTGTTCACATTCAATTACACTAACTAAATCGAAAAAAGGCGGTGTATATAAAAAAAAAATCGAAAATGTTTGTTTGTTGTTGGGGGGAATTGTTCAGGATAATGGAACAGTGTGTAACGGTAAAAACAAGCATTAAAAGTCAAAAAAAAGAAGAAGGGGAAAAAATTTTTCTTTTCCCAAAAAAAAACAACAACAACAACCAAATCATCAATAGACAACAAAAAAAAATGATACGTGATCATGTTTTTAGGTTGTTTTTGTTGTTGTTGTTCTTCTATTTCTACCCAAATGATAATGATGATGGAAACTACAAGGAAGAGAAAAAAAGTAGTCATCATTACAACAAAAACAACAACAACAACAAAAAAGGTCTAATAATGATTACTATCCATTGACCATTGGTCAAAATGAACTACGATAACACCGACAACACCGACAACAACAACAAAAAACATTGGTAAAAATGATGCAAAAAAAGATATTGTGTTACTCTCACATTTACTATTTCGATTTCTTTCCTTTTTCTTGGGTTCGGGGTTCGGTAAAAATAGGAAAACGGAATTTATTTATTTATTTAATAATAATTTTTTCTCTATCCAACAGAATTGGGGAAGAAAAGGAAAAGAAAGAATGAAAGAAGGAAATGGTGACATTAATAATTCAATAGAAAAGTGTAATAATTGAATCTAATAGCCTCTATATTGATGATTTTTGTTCACTTTCCTCTCACTTTGTGTATATATGTGTATGTGTGTGTTCACTTCTTCTGAACGAAATGATATTATATCTTGATATCATGGCCCTTCGGGAATCCTGTTATCCTCCCGCAATTCTGTCTCTGTTTTTCGTAGTAAAAATAAAAATTACTCGTTTCTAATGATGAAAATTTTTTTCCGATTCATTTTTTTCTGATATTGATATCATTTTGGGTTTTTGTTGTTGCAAAATTGTTTCAACAAAAAAAAACAACAACAACAATAAACTAATTTTTTTATGTTTTCTTCTTTTTTTTTTTCTTTCTCGGTTATTTTCGGTTGGATGCACGTTTCGTTTTCGTTTACGTTTTTTTCGTATTTCTCACACGAATGATTTTTGATTAGCTTGCTCATCGATCAACTGAACAAACATTCAAAGATTTACATTTAAATCTACGAAAATTATTAAAATTATCGGAAATTACTGCCAATACTATTCAAAATGATCATAATGATGAACAACAACAACAAGAAGAATTGAAACAAATTTATTTTGATCGAATTGAATCATCGATTAATCAATACCTACGTATCACTAGTGCCTATTTTGATTTAGAGCCTAATGTTCAAGTAAGTTTTAATATTTTTTTTTTCTTCAAAATCTACCTGACCATTTTGTGACATTCTAATTGTTTTTTTTTGTTTTTTTCCAATTGTAGAATGTTTGTCAACAAATTTGGGATACATTATTTGATTATCCGTGCCTGGAAAAATGTACAGAATTAATTGATTTTATTCGTCAATGTATACAACTTTGTTGGTCATTCAATGTTCAACAAATAAATTTTCAATTAGATATTGAAACCAAATTATTTCGTCATGATTGGCATTCACGTACAATCGATTCTGATTCTGAATCCGATTTGATTAAATGTTATATATGGCCTACATTATTTCAGCATGGAATATGTGTTCACAAAGGAATTGTCATCACTTGATCACATACTCTTTCTATATATTATTCACTATACATTTTATTCATCACATCAATTTTATTGCCTCATTAAACATTCTTTCTTTCTTTCTTTCTTTTTTTTGTCATACAAAAGAAAATCAATAATATTTATTTTTTGTTTTTGTTTTCTCATCATTTATTATCGATCTTTTTTTTTCAACACGATTATAGATCAATCAATCAATCAAATTTTTTTTTTCTAAATGAACTTATTTGAGTTTTTTTTTGTCAATTCGTTTGTGTGTGTGTTTGTTTGTTTGTGTGTCTATTTTTGTACAAATGATTTAAAAAAAAACAATGTATTTTGTAGCAATAAAAAACGAAAATTTTAAATATAATATTTTGAAGGTACAAATGGCATTTTACAAACATTATATTCATATAGTTTACCACGAACATCACAGAATAATGTTGTACCGATTTTTGATGATGAACTTTTTACATAACCCATTGCAATATTTTGTCCTAATGTTGGTGATGGACAACCACTAGTTGTTTTGCCAATCAAATTTTCTTCATTCATGGATGAATCTTTATAAATTTTACTACCCGAACGAACAGGTGGTCCAGATTTTGTTCCAATCAATCCGATACGTTTAATTTTCGGTTTATCTTTCAATTCTTTTAGTATAATTTCTGCACCCAAAAAATTTGCCTCTGTTCGTCGACGTTTTGCAATTGTCCAGGCTAATGTTGCCTGTATTGGTGTTGTTGTCATATTGATATCATTACCGTAAAGACAAAGACCAGCTTCCAAACGTAATGAATCTCTTGCACCTAATCCAGCTAATTTTGATACCGGTGTTTGTAATAATTTATCAGCTAAATCGACTGCCTGTCCATTTGATACTTGTATTTCGAAACCATCTTCTCCAGTATAACCACAACGAGTTAAACGTATAGGTATTCCATCGTATACAGTTTCTACACCATTCATAAATTTTAATGATTTTAAATCAATTGATTCAAGTTTTGTTTGAATTGTTTCAGCTGATTTTGGTCCTTGAAATGCCAATAAACTTTTATCGTTTAATATTTTCATATTCAAATCAGCATTTGGATTTGTTTGTAAATATTTTGCCATTTGTTCTTCAAGATGTTTTAGATCTTCTTCTGAACGTGATGCATTCGATACAATATAAAGTGAATCAGGTTTTTTACTTACAATCAAATCATCAATTATTCCACCATTAGTATTTGTATATAAGGTTAATGTTGCACCATTTATTGGTAAATTTTCAACATCAGCTACAACTAATTTTTCAAAAAATTTTATACGATCTTTACCATATAATTCAAGTTGTAACATATGTGATACATCAAACAATGATACATTTGTTCTTGTATGATGATGAGAATCACGAATCGAAAGATCATTATATGATATTGGCATCGAATATCCAGCAAATGGTACCATTTTTGCACCTTTTTCCAAATGAAATTCATATAAAGATGTTCGCTTTATTACTGCTGCTGATGACGATGATGAACATAATGTTTTTGTCAATAATGGACAAATTGATCGAATAGAATTGATTCTAATCGAAAAAATATTACGACCGGTTATAACAAACATTTATGATTGAAAAATTCCTAATTTTTTCAATAAAAAAAATGAAAAATGATTTGACACTGGTTCAATAAGAGACAGCCAATATGATTATCAAGCAATGCGACACAATTATTTCATGGCCATGATTTAGATTTTTTTTTTGAAACATTAGCTGATCATCAAATCAACCATTTATGACGATCATGATGATGGATAGTAATAGATTTAACGCAAATGAAAATTATCATTATCAACATAAAACTATTCGAATCGAAATTGATATTTTTTTTTCCTATGAAAGTTAAAAAAAAAACAACAGTAGCAGTCATCCACCATCATCATCAAAATGTATTCGATTTGATAAAATATTATCTATCTGTTTGTTTTTGGGTGATAATTATCATCAAATAAATATTATTGTTTCAAAATCAATCATAATCGCAATGAATCTATATTTTTGTTTTCATTTTTGTTTTTGAATTGACTTTTTTTTTCTTGATTAGATAATTAAATTAGCAACCAAAGAAGAAAAAAAAGAAGATACGAATAACACCTACAGTTAAAGTTTGAAAATGAGATTTTTTTTTCTTTCATTCGTATCTAAATGACCAAAATGAAGAAACATTTGAAAAAAAAGAAGAAAAAAAATCAATTAAATCAAACATTGTTCATGTTGTTGTTAAGCTCTTGAGGATCGATATATTCTTTGTAATTTTATTTTGAAAATTACAAAACAACAATTTTCAAAACACTGTTGTTGTTTTTTTGTTGGTTGTTGAATAATTCAATCACGGAATATATTTCTTTGCAGATGCAGATAATCGAAATTCTGGAAAAAAAATTCAAGAAAAATCAGATAGAATCAAGGGGAAAAATAGAGAAAATTTCCACAAAACCAACTACAAACATTGTCATTGAATAGAAACAAAAACAAAAACAAAAACAAGTCAAAATTGAATTATAGTGAAAATCGTTATTTATTTATTTTCTTTGGATTGTGAAACATAAACAACAACAAAAAAAAAAGATATTCAGGAACCAACCAAATCAATAATGGTGAATTACATGTTCCTCCGAGAAATGAACGTCTTTCTTTCTTTTTTTGTTGTTGAAAAATTGGAAAAAAAAATTAATTAAATTAACATTTTTTTGTATAGTCAAATGAAATTTGATTTTTTTTGACCAAAAATATCAATTTAAAACGTTTGATCGTTGTTGATGTAAGAGAATTTTATCATTACCGATGCACGTATCACACATCCTCATCATCATTATCTCAAAAGAATTTGATAGAATCCGATCAACAAAAGAAGAAAAGAAAAAAAAGAAAAAAAAAATGATTTGTCAAACTTTTTTTCGTCGTTATAAACTACAGAGAAAAATTCATTGGATAATGATTTTATTTAGTAGGAAAAAAAATGACCAATGAATCAAGGATAATGATCATTATGTAAATGTTTATTTTCATTTTTCAATCAAAATGAAAAATTTACAATTTAAAATTTATGTTTTATTTAACACAAACCACAAAATTCTATTAGATTTATTGTGGTTTACAAGAATTTTCAATAATGTTTTTTTTTTTTTTTTTGGTTTCGCTGTTTATTATTGTCGATCGTTGGAATCATAAATTTCAATTTTTCCCTCTCTCTCTCGCTTTTGCAATCACGAAAATTATTTATTTAGGTGAACGACGTGATGTAATTTATATTATTAGAAAAAAAAAGATTTTTTGCTTTGCTTAGCTTCTTGAAGAAATTGAAATGGAAATAATTCTTCTGGACCACCACCACTACTACCATCATCATCGAACATTCATTCATTTTTTTGCCAAATGGATAAGGAAATCGATTCCGTACAAATCAATCTATTGTCTCTTTGTTCGTTCTGATTGATTGACAGAATATTCATTAAGCTAAAATAATTATTCAAATCAAAATCTTGAAAAAATTGAATGAACAAAACAGAACAATAGTGTTTGATTATTTCCCAAAATCCCCCCTCCAACAAAAGAAATTATTAATTAAAGAAAAATTTCTGCCAGGAATTTCAAAATAAAACGTTTGATTTTTTTCTCTGTTGTTGAATGAAATGAATTCAAGAATTTCTATTTAGATACATTATATATGTTTTTTTTTCGGGGTAAATGATTATATGATTTGATCAGAATTGAGTAGCTTGTGTGTTTGTTGATCATGCTCTTTGATGATGATGATGATGATGGGAAACGACAAAAGAATATTCTTTGCTCCAATTGATTCTATTCAACAGAAAACATGAATTACTCATATACAATGAACAACATATATACAAAGAATTTAATTCAAACGAGAAAAAAAACAACAAGAAAAACAATTCAAATGCATAACTCGAGAATCAAAGAGTCACCCAATATTGATTGTGTGTGTGTGTATGTGTGTTTGTGAATCTGAATCCAAAATGAAGAATACAAATTCGGCAAAAAAAAGGTAGAAGAATGTGTGTTTATAGTTTGTTTTCATTTTCGGGTGAACTATAGAGAATTGTTGTTGTTGAGGAGAGATTTATTATTATTATTATGGAAACAACAACAAAATCATAATCATCATCCGAAAGATTTTTATGATTTTTTATGATTTTGGTTATTCTGTTTGTTTGCTGATTGCTTGGTTGGTCATTGCACTAAGTGATCTAATCTATAAACCAAAAAAAAATATTGGCGGTTCATTCGTTTATCAATTGAATTATATGATGATCCAAATATACAAAATGATTTCTTCACTGCACAAATTCCAATCATTATTGCTTCATTGGTAACATTTTTTATTATTATTATTGCTAATTACTGAATTGATAATAATTTTCGTTTCTTCTTCTGTCTATCACAGTGAGCAAATTACGATAAAATATTGAAAATATTACTAGATTTTATCTGAATGATTATTGCATTGAAATTATATAATCTAATGTATTATCAATGAGAAAATAAACAAACAAATAAAAAATGTTTGCCAAACAACCAATACCATCAACAACAATATTTCAAACAACAACATTATTATTGTTGTTAGTGCAATTGAATTTTGGTAAGTTCATTCATTCATTCATTGTTTTCGTAGATCAATAATGTCATTGAATCGGTTGACTCAATCAGACTATATAGAATCTATTGATTGTTTTCGATGTACATCATTTGGTGGTGTTAATCAATGGTGTGAAGATCCATTTCATAATAATTATTCATCAACTATTTTACAATCACCTTGTTGGACTGGTAGAAAAGGACGTGATGGACTTTATCCGGCTACAGCTTGTATTAAACTAAGTGGTCGTTTTGGTATGAAATTGATATAATTTAATAATAATAATAAATTATTTTATCAATGAATTAAATCAATCGCAATAGAGGATAATGGAGAAACAATGATTGTTCGAGATTGTGCATTAGATTCAGGTTCATTGACAACAGATACTGAACTTGTTCGAAGTAAGTATTTATTTAATTATTATTTTTGAGTTGATAAATAACATTGAATAAAATTTAATTTAGTGTCACATTGTGGTGGATTCTATTTCGACAATCGTTACGTCAAAGGATGTGTTCAAGTTAGTCAACATTTTTTGAAAAATCCTAATTTTGAATTTTGATTTTTTTTTGAATTTTGTGTTTTCAGTCATGTTCCGAGAATGCCTGCAATTATGCCAGCAGTTTATCCAGACAAATCATCATGTATACCATGTTTTTATCAATCATTATTTTCAAAATATAATGTTAAATTTTTTCAAACCAAACCAAAAAAAAATTGAATTAATCAAAAAATTTTTTTTCATATAGAAATATTACATGGAATTCGAATTTCTTTTTTGAGTTTAATTTTAAATTTGTTTGTTGAATATTTAAAAAAAAAATTTGATTTAAAATTAAAATTGTAATTTTTTTTTTCGAATGTTTTGAGCGAACGTCATTTATGAACGAAAAACAAGGATAGTGGCTTGACTCAGCAAATGATTGCAAAGTTTTTTTTCTTTCTTGGCCGATATTGGATTCAATGTTTTTGTTTTGTGTGTGTGTATCCAAATTATTATACGTTTCAATTTATGTGATTCTTGTGGTTAAGCAATAATTATTTGCCTAATTTTTTCTTTGATGAGAATCAAGTTTTTTTTAACATTTATAACTCGATTTTTTTTTAACTAATTCAATTCATGTGTGTGTGTGTTATTCGTGTGATTGTTGAAATAGATTATTGAGAAAATTTATTTATATAAAAAAAAGAATTCAACGTAAATTTAAAATTTCGAAACAAACGACAATGTCTGACCTCGAAATTAATATATTGGAAAATAAAACCTTATATAATCATCAGTATTTGACGGCAATATTTCAGATTTATCCACAACAACAAAATAATGGTATCAATCTTAACGATGGTGAACGACAAAAATCCGATAACGAAAATGATGTACCGATAATATGTTCAGTTTTTCATGATGCAAGTGATGATTATTTATCATTTGAAAATTATTCTCTTTATGTATTCGAAAGTTTGATTGAAAAAAATTTCAATGAAAACAAATATTATATTGACAAACGATTCTTTTCGGATCAACGATCAAGTCTGTTTCGTTCGAATCGATTTGCATTTCGAATATTCGATGATTATACCAATAGTATGGCCTATTTGTTTGATTGTTATTGTCGTTATGAGATTGTCAAAGATTTTGCCAATCTTATACCATTGTCCGAACAAAAAACTTTGAAACGTTATATTATTGATCAGGCTGCTTTGTTATTAGTCATGCCCGATTTGAATAAAGTAGCTTCGACAAATGGTAGTAACGATGATCAAACCATGAAACCGTTCAACGATTTATTAGAAATCACTCAACTTACCACTCCATGGCTTTCCGATCATATGAATTATTTTAAAAAGTTTTTTGTCGATATTACCGATACTATACATGCTGCAAAAATGGGCATACAAAATTCTGAATATAATTCTTCATTGTCAGATTTATCGCCTGGTGAATTGAACCTAAATTTAATAATCAAGCCTTTATATGAAAGATTTTGTGAAAATTTCAAAAAGTCTCATCTTTTAACTCCGATATTTATTGATGATATTACTTCGTTGAACATATTGGTCGCATCTCCAACATTAGCCGAAATATTCATCGATTTGAATAGTCCGTCATCATTACTTGAATCCGGTGTGACCTCTTCCAGTAATGCATCATCTTCGCAAAACAACCGAGGACCATCATTCAATAATAATGAAGATGCTTTTCGCAATCCTATGCGTGATGTATTTCTCAATTCAATTATGAACGTTCAATCAAACAATTCGGTCGATACAAGTCAGGAGAAAATCTTTCAAGAATGTTTGTTGGGCATTTTGTTATCCAATTCTCCATTACCATCATTATTTTCATCGAAAAAAAACAATACTAACTTGTTAAATTTGATACTAAACAATCCAGATTTTGAATATCAATTTTTCAATTCTCCAACCACACATACACCATCTGAAATGGAACGAATTGAATTACAGATCGATGATTATCTACAAAAATTACGCACTAAACTAACCGATCTATTCTATTCTTTACTAAGATCGCCACCACAAGTTCGAACGAAAACATTGAAATGGATTGAATGTTGTTTGGCTACATTCAATACTCGTTCCAAATTATGGATGAATGAATTGTTCACGCTAGTCAGTGGTAATACATCGCAAATATCTGATGGGTTTCTTCTTAATTTTTCGGCAGTATTGTTGAATCTATGTAAACCGTTTTGTACATGGAGTGAAAACAATTGCAAATTAATCGAAATCTATCCCGCATATTCAATCAATGAAAAAATGTTAAAAGTTGATCCTCTTTATATTCGTTATTGTCGACAAGAAGGAACAACAACAGTGACCAACAGGCCGAATGATTATGGACCATATCTAAATATTTTGAAACAAGAATCTTCTTTAATCAGCGGTGATAATTTCGCATCTAGAGTGGCTAGAGACAATTCGAATAATCGTACAACAGATCAATCATCTTCAACAACTAATATTTCACAATCTAATGTGGATGAAAAACCAAACATTAGTGGTGATGATTATCAGCCAAATTTTATAAGTCGGTTATTTTTCATGACTCATAAATCATTGCATATCGGTTTTCGTGTTATCCATGAACGATTCACTGCGATCAACCAGGAAAATGGGCAGTTGCAACGTCGTCTGGATCAGCTTGGAATGGGAATGGGATTTAATTCTATGACTCGAAACAACCTAAATCCACAACAACAAGAAACATTGACTAAATTCGATCGTAACATGACTGTGACATTATCGATGAAATCTGCATTGACCGAAACGAATTACTTGAATTTATTGCTCGAATTTTATCTGGCTACTGCTTCGTGGATCAATAATCTAGCTGTTTGTCCGTTGGATAAAGAAGGTCCCGATTCATTCATTCGACTAGATGCGCAAATCAATGGAAAAAATTATTTCCAATCTAAACCTTCGCCGTGCCTTCAATGGGTTCCGGAATTCATAATTGAAAATATCATTGATTTTATGTTATTTTTGCGTTATTTTGAAATCAAACCAAAAGTATTTAGTTTAAAATCCGGTCTTGAACCATTTATGGTGATGAGTATTTTGTTTATGGGATCACCTCAACGAATGCGTAATCCTCATTTGCGTGCCAAAATGGCCGAAATGCTCGAAGCTTTATTGCCCACTGTACAAGCAAATTTTGCACCGTGAGTATTTGATCCGTTTATTATGTTTTATTCGTAATTAATTTTTATATTCATAGTTTTCATCTGGAACAATTATTCCTTAAACCATATTTCATTGAAGAATTATTTCCGGCATTGCTCAGTGGATTTGTGAGTATTGAAATATCCGATGAGGCTAATAATGCCGATGTGGTTGCATTCGAACAAAAATTCAATTATCGTCGACCAATGTATGTTGTATTCAAGTATTTATGTACGATTGAACAACATCAAATGAAATTGATTGATCTGGCCGCGTTTGCCGAAGCCAATGTTGATTGTGTACAATTGCCAATATTTCTGCGTTTCATTAATCTGTTGATTAACGATGCAATCTTCTTGCTTGATGAAGGATTATCTCTTATGTCTAAACTTCGTGAAATTCAACAGGAACGTGAATCAGATGCTTGGTCACGTTTACCGCAAGTTACACGGCAACATAATGAAGCTAATTTTGTACATTTAGGCCGTCTGGCCAAATTTCATAACTTTATCGGTCGTGATACAATAGCAACATTGGCCACCATAACTTCTCATGTGAAATCTTTTTTCTCACATCGAATTCTTGTTGATCGAATGGCTGCCATGTTGAACTATTTTCTACATAATCTGGTGGGTCCGAATAAACGTAATTTTAAAGTAAAACAAATGAACGATTATGAATTCAATCCTGGTGAATTGGTCAAAAATATCAGCAGAATTTATGTCAATCTGGCCTGTAATAATCCGATATCAATAGATATGAATAATACGATAGGTGGTGGTATTAGAAGCAATCAAGTCAATCCTAGATATGAAGAATTCTGTTTAGCCATTGGTCGTGATGATCGGTCCTATTCGCCTGATCTTCTTATTCAAGCAGAAGAAATTCTCACCAATAAATTGGGCCAACCGATGCTCGGTCAAGATATGCTTGTTGTGGATAAATCTGTTAAAGAATTGATTCTTCGTCATAGACATAGTGAAATTCCTATGGATGATATACCCGAAGAATTTTTGGATCCATTGATGAGTACGTTGATGAGCGATCCGGTTATTTTGCCCAATTCCCACAAGATTTTGGATCGAGCTACAATAACTCGTCACTTACTGAGGTTAGTACGATTTCTTATTAATTTTTATTAAAATTTAAAATATTTTTCCCTAATTTTAGTGATCATACCGATCCATATACCCGTACTCCTCTTACAATGGACATGTTAATTCCCGATGTTGAACTTAAGAAAAGGATCGAAACGTTTATAGCAAACAAATCAAAAGAGATGAATAAAGAATAGCAGCATCATTTTTTTCCAATTTAGTTCTTTGATCAAGTCGGATTCAATCATTAATTTACTGATTATAATAACTGTAAATAACAATTGAAGTAAGCCGTTTTGCTTTGTGTTTAAAAAATTAAAATTATATTTGCAAATGACACGTACTTTATGAATGTAACCATTAAGGAAAAAATGCGCTTTTTTCATGTTGATTTTTGTGAATTTTGTTCGTTCAATTGTTTTATTTTTAAATTTGATTGATCAAGTTGAACATCAAGTTTACCATTAATTACGAAATGGTTTTCACACCAGATAAATTTTACGCTGGTACTGATTATAGTGATGTTTTGGATAGTAACAACAAGAATGTCAAACAAACGACACCGGTCAGAAAGGTGGAAAAATTCGAATGGAATTCCGACCGTTTTGTAAAAAGTTTGGCCAAAAAGAATATTCGTATTACGAATTCGGAATATCATGGATACAAACGTATATTATAATGTTAATGGAATTTCTCATATAATTTATTTTGATTATTAATAGGAAAAACTATGAGTGCTCATAAGCAACCATTCAAAAAATTAGACCTAATAAATAACTGTGGCCAGAGTAATATGCGCGACTATATTGTCAGTTTCCGTCGTGCTCATAATAGAGAAAATGTTAGTTTCGATAGACATCCAGAACAGCCAACGGAAACGAATGCCCCAAAAAAAGTTCTGAAAGATTATTTCGAAGATAATCGACGTTCAGAGCCGATTGTTGCGTTCACACCAATCAAGAAAAAAAAGATTGATCAACAATCGGATGAATTTGAAGAAATTGATGATATATTGGGCACACAGGAAAATCACACGGCTAATGAGCAACTGAATATTGAAAACGCCAACAATAATATTGACAATGACAATCTATCATCTGTTGCTTATGACGGCGATAATAATCGTGAAACTGAAAATGATGAAGAATTATGGGCACGATTAGCTGAATATGATCCAGATCTTATTAATGAAAAGAATGCCCCACTTGGTTTGATTAATCTTGGCAATACTTGTTACATGAATGCTATTGTTCAGATTTTATTTTCGTTTGATTTTTTCATGAAAGATGTTATCGAAACCTATACAAAATTAAGTGAATATATACGTACTGAAATTGAGAATCAATTACCAATAACTTATAATTTTATTGAACTTTATCTCAAATATCAAAGTAGAGAAAATCGATCAGTAATCGAAGAATTTTTGACTTTGTTTCAAAATTCTTTCTGTTCCTGGGTTGAAAATTTCAAATCCAATGAACAACAAGATGCTGCCGAATTTTTTACATTGATTCTTGATAACATAAAACAAGAAATTGATCAAAATCATAGCAAATTTTTTTCTCCTGCTTCATCTTATCGTAATCCTATTGATCGATGTTTCGAGTATGAAATTCTTGCTGAAGCTGAATGTCCTCAATGTCGAAAACCATGCGCCAAATCAGTCGATCCTAATTACAAATCCAACACATTTCATTTGCCATTGGATTCAAATGTTCAGGTTTCGATTTTGCGATATTTTAATAATGAAATTAGTCGATCAAAATGTCCGGACTGTGATGAAAATTTCATAATAAAAAAACGTTTCGTTAAACTGCCCAAGATTCTTTTCATTCAAATGTTAAGATATTCGGAAGATGGCTCAAAAGATAATACAGCTGTTCCAGTTGCCCATACAATCTATTTGCCCAAACAATTTATTCGTATACAAAGTTGTTTAATGTCACCGTTATCGACTCCATATAAGACAAGGTAATATTCAAATCAATGTTTATTATTTAATTTTGTTTAATCAATTTCTTTTATTTTCAGTTTAACACAATCATATAATTCAATTTTGAAAGAAAAGAATTCATCAGTAACCCGAAGACTGGAATTTGATGAGCCAATAAATTCTGGATCAACATCGTCTCGACTTACAAGCAACAGTAATGCTAACATTAGATCAATGAATTTGAATTCAGATGAAAATAATGGTGCTATGGTCATTTCGGCAACAAATTTAAATCGACAAACCAACAACGAGACCGATACAAATGATCAAGTTGTATTTGATCAATCCACCGAATGTGAAAGATATCAACTAGTCTCAGTAATCTGTCATCAAGGCCCTTCAATAACATGTGGTCATTATACTTGTTATGTATATAATTTTGACTATCAAAAATGGTATCACTGTGATGATAGCATCATTACCCAAGTTCCTTTCAAACAACTTGAAAAAAATTCCTTGACCACTGGATATTGTTATTTCTATGCCCGTACTGATCACGATTATCATTCATGATTTATTCAATGGCTTTGTTTCATTCTACTGTGACATCCTTATATTTTCATATTCTATAAAGATTGTCAATTTGGTCAATTGATTGGATGAATTTTGAATTCATCTTGGTCACTATTCAAGATGACTGATAAATAATGAAGAGGTTATTGTAATCACTACATTATTTTGGACTTTAAAGTCTAACATTTGATTAATGCAAAATCTTATTCTAGATTCATCTCTAAAGTCGAAATATTTCCAAAATTTATAATGTTCTGCCAATTTTGTAATTTGATAAAAACTAGATTTTTTGATTTATTAAGTTATTTAATTGGTTAATTTAAAATAGCTTTGAATTAAAATCAAATATACAATATAAAATATATTTTTATTCATTTTAAAAGTTTTTTTTAAGTTAGATACACATTGGAGTTTCGTTGAAATCGATAAGGAAAGAAAAGAATAAATGTTATATTCATTTTTCTGTTCATTTTTTTTGTATTGTCTTTTTTTTATAACCATTACTGATTGAGTCGTTGTTCCAATTTATTCAATTGTTCGGCTATTTCTTTAGGCAAATCTTCACCAACTTGTTCGTCAAAATATTTACGAATACTGGTGACTTCTTGTTTCCAGAAATCTTTAGGTACATCGAACAATTTATCATAGTCAATATCTAGCCCTTCAGCGCGGAATGAATCTCTTTTTGGAAGATAACCGATTGGTGAATCCTACAGGGAAAATAATTGTTTAAATTAGTCAATCAGTTGTTGGTCAAATAAAATATATGAAAATACCATTTGAATGTTTTCATTTTCTACACGTCGTATGATCCAATCCAATACTCGACAATTTTCGCCAAAACCTGGCCATAAAAATTTTCCAGTTTGTTTATCTTTTCGGAACCAATTAACATGAAATATTTTTGGAAGCTGTAAATCTGGTTTTTCTGCAAAACTTAACCAATGATCAAGATAATGGCCAAAATTATAGCCAAAAAATGGTCGCATTGCAAATGGATCATGCATTATAACTTTTGCTTTATGTTCAGCAGCTGCAGTTGCCTCCGAACGTAATGATGCTCCAACTAGTACACCATGTTTCCAATCAAATGATTCGTAAACAAGTGGAACACCTTCGGGACGACGACCACCAAAAATGATGGCACTGATTGGTACACCTTGTGCATCTTCCCAACATGGATCAATTATTGGACATTGGCCAGCAGGTGCACAGAAACGTGAATTTGGATGTGCTGCTGGTTTTCCGCTATCTTTTGTCCATTCTTCGCCCAGCCATGAGGTAATTTTTACTTTTGGATCAACTTCATCTTCTAACCCTTCCCAATAGATACCACCATCAGATGTTTTGGCAACGTTGGTGAAAACAGTATTGCTTGAGATGGTTTTCATTGCATTCGGATTGGTTTTATTGTTAGTACCCGGTGCAACACCGAAGAATCCATATTCCGGATTGATTGCACGTAAAACACCGTTTTTATCGAAACGCATCCATGCAATATCATCACCAACACATTCAACTTTATATCCAGGTAATGTTGGTGTTAACATAGCCAGATTTGTTTTACCGCAAGCGGATGGAAAAGCTGCCACTACATATCGTTTAATACCTTGTGGATTAGTAATGCCCAAGATTAGCATATGTTCTGCAAACCATCCTTCACGTTTGGCTAGAATCGATCCTAATCGTAGAGCGAAACATTTTTTTCCTAACAATGAATTTCCACCGTAACCAGAACCAAATGAAACGATTTCATTTCGAGCAGGAATATGTGAAATCAATGTTTTTTCAGGATTGCAAGGCCAATTCTGTTTCAATGGCCGTTGTAATGGCAATGGACATCCAACCGAATGAAGACAACGAATAAAATCATCACTCTCACCCAATGTTTTTAGCACAGCTTCACCCATTCTTGTCATGATTCTCATCGATGCAACAACATATGCTGAATCGGTTAATTGAATTCCAATCTTTGACAATGGTGAACCGATTGGTCCCATACTAAACGGTATAACATACATGGTACGACCTTTCATACAGCCTGGAAATCGTTCATCTAAAGCTTTCTGTAAATCTTCTGGTGAAAGCCATTTGCCTAATGTTCCATCGACACCTTCTTTCGGTATTGGTACCGTATCACGTTTGTTTGGTGTAGAAATTATCGTCTTGGATTCAACACGTGCCACATCGGCTGGATCGGTTCTGGCTAACCAGCTATAAGTGGAAAATTTCAAGTTGTTAAATAAAAAATATATTCATTGAATGACTAACGTACCAATTCTCATATTTCGGAAGCTTTTCAAGCATTCCCTGGCTGACCATCAGATCGATCAATTGTTGATTTTCTGCCTCGGATCCATCACAAATTTGAATCTGATCCGGTTTACAGATACGTGCTTTTTCTTCGATAAATTTCTTTACCGATTCACTAAGTGTGGCTGCACTAAGATTTGTAAGGCCACGATTCGAAACGGTATTAAATGTTTTGGTCGTTTGACAACCAAGGCTTGTTGTACCTTCAAAATGACCTTTTTGATATGCAACGGAAATCATCGTTCGATGTTTAACTAGATCGGTCAAACGTATACTATTGATGGGACAAAAAAAAACAATGAAAAAAATTATGATTACAATTAGTTTATCAATAATAGTCGATAAAATTTACCAAAAATAATTCAAAATATAAAAATCTAGATTGAGAATAATGTTTCAAATAAATGTAAATGATGATCTGCAGTAGTATCGACTTTTCCTTTTAGCATCGAAAATGGAAACGATTCATTAATGTCGAAAAAAATATTTACGGTCGAATATTGAATCGAATAATGTCGTTGTTCTTTAGCCATGGAACGATTTAGATGGCATAAAATTTTAAATTGAAATACGAATACACATCTCTTTTTATATATATAGGCCGACATATACATTTTGCTTTGTTTACTATTAAACACAAGCAAGACGACGACATTTGAAAAAAATAATAATTCAAATGGCAACACACGATTTGTGAAAAAAAAAATTTCTTCGACGTCATAATTATCATCAAAATATACAAACAATTTGCCATAAATGAGATAAAACAACAAAAAAAATCATTTGGAAAAAAGAGCCAAAACCGATATATATCAAGTTTCATTCACTACTACAACTGTTTTGATATATCAATGGAATGTACTAAAACTTTGCCGAATACAAATGAAACGGATTGCCATCAAAATCAAAATATCAAACGATTATTGATAGATAGATTACAATAAATCAATCAATATATCAATTATCATTAAACGATTCAATTAATTTTAATTTTTCCATAAATACGCCATTGGAAAACAAACAAGGTCACAGGTCATTTTGACCGCTTTGATGGAAAAAAAAACAATGGCGTCATAAAAAAAAATATTGTTTGTCGAATGATGTTGTTTTTTTTTTGCCATTTTGGTACTGTGATGACAGAGCGCATTTTCAAAGCTGTTGTCGGAATTTTTTTTGTCCAAGTTAAAAACATTGTATTAATAATGAATTTGACAATTTTTTTTTGTTAGCAGTAATTTTTTCTTGTCATCATGAATTTTTTTTTACTCCCTTGTAATTTAGAAAACTTGTGGAAAATTCTGATAAATGTTTAGTTTGTTTCTATCATTGATGATCATCACGATGATCACGATGACAACATTTGATCATTGATTATTGTGATTAAAAACAAAAAAGTTTTCCGATCATAATCAGCTTCGATTATCAGGAAAATATCGTATGAATCTGATGATCATAATTCATCGAACATATCCATAATGAATGATCATTCGATTCAGAAGATTCAGTGATGCAGATGAAAAACTACCTTTATTATCATTAGAAAAGATCGTCCTTCGAATTTGTTTTTATGTTAAAAAAACTTTCAAACTGAATCAATTTTTAAAAAACGACATTTTTTCGACTTTGAACAATATTCATTTTGAATGTACCAGAATTATGGCGAAATAAATTTGGCCAAAGTCCTATAGTAACCTAAGTAATTAATTTATTTTTGTTTCAAGCACATTCGTACCCATTCAATTTAAATCTTCGGTGGAAGTGATGATATATGTCAAATTTTGATCAATGGATCTGTAATATTTGCGAATAAAAAAAAAATGTACATTCGATACACATTTTCATCATTTGTTTTCATCATATAAATATAAAATCAAATCACTGATTTTATCCATTGATGCAATTGGAATAAAAATGATTGATAAGATCAAAAGGAAATATTAAAGATCTTTAAGAAGAAAAAAATGAAATAATGTTCGTGTGTGTGTGTGTGTGTGCAAATAATTATTGACAAAATGGACTTACTTTCTAGTTAAAATAAAACGATGTGCCGTTATGGCTAAAGATGTTTTCATCATCATTTTCTTGTAAAAACTGGTTATATGATGCTTTAATTAGGTTTAAAAATTTGTCGATGAAATTTTGTTCAACTTTTTGTCAAGAGTTGTCAGTCAATTTCGTTTTTTTTCAATCAATTAAATCAATCGTATGATGGATGGACATGGGATGTCTGTGCAACAATTTGTATTGTTTTGGATGGGTGTATATTGAGTTGCGATGTTCTTTTTAATGGTTAAAATGAATAACGAAAAAAATTTCGTTAGAAAACATTCGTATGATGTGGTGGATACTTTGCCAAACACTATAATCGAATCATTTTTATTGATAAGAAACAAGTAATTGATAATTAAGAGACATTTTCCATATGAGATGATATATTATTTTATTTTATTTTATTAAATACATACATACATACATTCCTTGGTGATAAGATCAAGTATATTTGATGGTGGTTGAATAGGAAAAAAAATTACCTTATCGATAGTACATCATTTTATTATCAGTTGATTGATTATTATCTATGATGATGGTATGATCCATCAAACTATAAACTGTAAATAATAAAAATAATTCTTAATCATAATCATCAAAGGCTATATACTTTTGATTATTTAATCATACAACACACACACACACAATATGCTTTCACAATGTCAAACACCAAATGGAACAATCATCAAATTTATCATCGTCGAAAGAAAACAATATAATGAAGAAAAAAAACATTGAATGATTCAAATGCAAACACTCGACATATATTGTCCCATTCGATCGATATTGATATAAAAATCAATCGATTTTTTTTCTGACCTAAAATTGATTTGTTTTGATCAATACTGATTGATTGAATTTTTTTTTGTTGTTGTTGTCAATCATTACAATACTAATCGTTTAATCGCCTGGAAAAAATAACGGAAATTTGCATTCATAGCATGTCGTATGACAAATTAATATTAATTACCACATAGATTTAAAAATAATAATAATAAATCCCCATAAGCGGACAACAGCAAAAAAATAATCATTTAAAATTTACTCAAAAAAAAAAAATTTTTTTTATTATAAGCAATATGACAATTTGGCAATGATAATTTGAGGTTGAAAATATTTCATGTGATCATCATCATCATCATCATTATCAATAAGCTGAACAAAACCAGAGATTCCAGTTTTTCATCGTCATCATAATCATCAATCTAACAACTTTGTACATATTAATTTCAACGACAAGGGGGAAAATTGAAAGGATAATGAATTAATTAATTAATTTCTCTTCTGTATACTATTACATGATTAATCATGTTTTGCAATTTGATTTTTTTTGTTTTGTTTTGTTTTTATTTGGTCGATTTTTTCAAAATTTGTCAACCGGAAATTTCGTATCAAATTGCATTTAATTTCTTTTTCTTTTTGATACAAACAATAATATGCTGGCTGATATGGACATGTTTTTACAACAAAAAAAAATTAAAGAAAAATCCTTTTTTTATTTTTGTTAAAATACACGATCAATATATTGACCACCAGAATTCTGGGTTCCCATACGACCAGGTGGACCACGTTGATGACCACCCGGATGATGACCAGGATGATAAACATGTGGACCAGGTGCTGAAGGGCCACCACCTGCTTGTGCTTGTGGAGCTGCACGACGACGTGGTGTGGTAAATTCAAACATTGAACTAGTATATTTTGATAATAATTTTCCAAGATCTTGTGGCATTGGATCGGACCAGAAAAAATCATGATTAAGTGCACTGTCCGAATCAAGTCGTTTGGATGGATCCAAAATTAATAATTTATCCAACAAATCCAACGCATAATCACATTTGATAAACATTTTCAGCTTTTCTTTCACTCTTCGTCGTTGACTTTTACCTAAATCCATTTTAGTGAAAAGTTCAAGTTTTTCAACACCAGGCCAAACTTCGGGTGTTATTGATCCACATAATTGTGTGATCATTTGCAATTGAGCCAATTCGGTATTTCCTTGCAGAATTGGAATACGAGTCCACATTTCGGCCATTATACAACCTGCACCCCAAAGATCGATTGGTGGGCCATAATTTCGTGCACCTAATAACAGTTCTGGTGGCCTATACCATAAGGTGACAACTCTGAAAAAATTGGGATAAAAAACAATGATTTTCAGATAAACAAGAAAATTGAATTCAACCTATTTGTGTATCGATCACTACGAATATCAGAAATGGCTCTTGCTAGGCCAAAATCCGCCAATTTAAGTACACCATTTCTAGTGATTAAAATATTGGCTGCTTTCATATCACGATGTAGAATTTTTTGCTTATGAATGAAGAATAGGCCATTTAATAATTGTTGCATAACTTTTTTTATCTCTCCTGATTATAGATAAATCGTTATTATCAATATTCAATCAATATTAAACAATTACCTAAATTGAATGTGACTGTAATGTTGGACAAAAGTCCGGCAAGATCATGTTCACAAAAATCGAAAACCAGATAAAATGTAGCCTTATAATTTGGATCAGTTGAAGATGTACGGCAAATTTCGATCAAATTCACGACATTTTCATGTTTTAGTAATTGAAGAATTTTTATTTCACGTAAAGCAGTTATTGGAAAACCTTCTTTTTCATTTTCCATAAGAACTTTTTTCAATGCAACTAATTTTCTTGTTTTACTATGTTTAGCTTTAAAAACTTCGCCAAAAGTTCCTGAATTGTTTGCATTAAATAAAAATATTAGAAATTGTTGATTCGAAAGCAATACATTTACCTTGTCCAATTTTACTAATTTTGGTATATTTATTAACATCTTCACAATATGGAAATTCATATTCATTATCTGGTAATGGACCATTGATATTACTTGAGCTTGTTAATGATGATGATGATTGTGACGATGGTGGTTGATGATTAGAAGTAGGATTATGTAAATTACCAGGCATATTAGATGATGTCGTCGAACCCGTTATATTTCTTAAATGATTATGTAAAGAATTTTTTGATGATGAAGAATCGATTGAATTTATTGTGCCACCATGTGATGGCAAATTATTTGACATTTTTTGCAAAAGAAAAATTGATTTATAAATAAAATAAAATCCAAAGAACAAAAAATTTCTAGAAAAAATAATCAAAACAATTTTGATGCTCACTTTGAGCTTCTTTAAAAAATAATTTTTTTTTTTAATTTGATCCTAGTGTTTATGAACAGTATCACATTGTTTCTTGGCATTGCTCGTTTGACGCAACTTTTCGCTTTTCGATTAATTTGTTATCATTATAATCTTAATTAATTAAATTTAATTATATTTTACGTTGATAATTTTCTCAATTTTTCCCAACTTACAGAAAACAAGTGAGTTTCTGATCCAAACTGTTGATTTAGATGTCATTGTCAAGTGAAAACGAAATAGCTTCATTCTAATCATTTGCCGGTAAATTAATACTGATTTAGATTTTTTAGTTTTTTACTTTAACTTAGGAACAAAATGACAACATCACAAAAACATCAAAGTTTTATATCCGAGCCGATGGGTGAAAAGCCTGTGAGCGATTTGGCCGGTATCGGTGAAGTACTTGGCAAACGACTTTCCAGTAAAGGATATGACAAGGTAATATGATTCTATTCTTTGATAATCCATTTTCTAAAATTCCATTTTACATTCAGGCTTATGTCGTTCTGGGCCAATATTTAGTATTGAAAAAGAATCAAGAATTATTTATCGAGTGGCTAAAAGATGAAGCTAACGCTAATACAAAACAAGCCAGAGATTGTTATGAATGTCTCACCGAATGGTGTGAACAATTTTTGTAAGCTAAACAATTTTCGATGTGAATCATCTTTCTATAATGCAACAACAACAACAATAAAAAAAATCAAACAAGAACGTTTGCTTATATCGATTTTCTATTAATCATTCGATTATCTCATTAAAATTCATAAAAAAATTGATTTATAATTCAATAAATTGATGGCATCATTTTTTTTTCTTTTTTCCAAAAAACAATACATATTATTTATGATAACCATTGGTTATTTATCATTTATTAATAGATCACAATATTTTTTTTTCATAAAATGTTTGCCAGGATGTGAATTTTTTTTTCTCAATCATCAATAACTTTTGGTTATTCCATACCAATTTGTTTAGATTGAAATCATTTTTCATTGATAAGTTTTTATTACACTTTTTTTCCATGACAATTGCTTAAAAATCAACAAATTTCATCGATCGATCAATCGATCCAAATCTCTCTTTTTTTTTGCAAAATAATTGTGATAATCGTTTAATCACGTAGAAAATTCTCAGCCATGATAGTCTGTTTAATTACATTTGGTGATCAATAGATGTCATTGCTTTTGATCTTTTAATAATTTTTTTTTTTTTTTGTAATAATATTTAACATTTTTTTTAAATTAATGATAAAATAAAATTTTTTTCAAAATAATAATAATTAAACTTTCTTATCAATTTCACTAAACATTTGTTTGATAAGATCACGATAAAAATCCATGACCGGTTTTCTTCGAAGTTTAAATGCAGCCGTCAATAGATTATTTTCCTGTGTCCATTCTTCTTTGACCAAAGCTATTTTGACCGGTGTTTCGGGTTTTTTATAATTTAATTCTTGACATTTTTTCTGTATTGATTCGAGAACCTTTTGAATGATGATTGGATCATCGCATAATTGTTCATAATCAAGTGGTCTTTTCAATTCAGCTGCAAGTTTCATTAGTGTTGGTCGATTTGGCCGAATCAATGCTATAACATCGTTACGGAATGGATCCGTAACAATGCAAATATTATCTACATAACCAGATGTTCGAAGACCAGCTTCAATCTTAATTCATAAATTGAATATTAGTAATAAAATTTTTTATTTTAATTTTTTTATAACAAACCTTTCCAAGCGAAATGAATTCACCATTCGATAATTTGACTAAATCTTTTTTACGATCAATAATTTTCAATGTACCATCAGGGAATATTTCTCCAATATCACCTGATCGAAACCATCTACATCCTTCCTCATCAACAAAAAAATCTTTAGCCGTTTCTTCAGGTTTTTTATAATATCCCAATGCAACTTGATCACCACCGCCTATAATTTCACCACGTGGATTAGGCTTATCATTGACCGAATAGCCGCCTTCATTCCAATCATCCAGATAGAATTTCATATTTTCCACAGGTACACCGGTTCTACCAAAGCTAAGATCATTTTGTGTCATGATTGTTATGACTCCCATTTCTGTGCTTCCATAGCCTGTGTTCAAAAATGAAAAAAATTACGAATTTTTTTTTTAACAAGAAAATAAGTTAATAAATACCATTCATAATACAAGTGGCATTCAATGCAGCCGTTGCCAATTTATGTGTACGTTCATCAATGGCAGCACTACCAATGACCATTAATTTTAATCGGCCACCAAATTGTTCATTAATACGCTGACATACTAAACGATTAATAATTGGTGTATCATAACCACGCGATCGCCATCTTATCTTGTAATCCATTAGATAACTAAACAACGGTGTCGCTAACGATGATCGAGAATTTAATCTTCGATAAATTTCACTTAAAAGTTTTTCCAATACTAATGGAACACTCATAAGTGATAATGGCTGTAGCAAATCCATGTCTCCTTTTTGTCCTTCTACATGTGTAGGTGATGAACTCAACAATGTTACTGGTGAAGACAAACCAAAATCACCATCGCTCAAAAACGATGATAAATTACTAATGTAGCCGAACATATGAGCCATCGGTAAAAATCCAGGATTTCTTGAACGAATTAATTTTATCGGTGATTCTAAATCTCTTCGTAATAAATTTTTACAAAATTCCATAAAATTTTTGTGTGTTACCATCACTCCTTTTGGATCTCCAGTTGTTCCGGATGTATACATTATAAGCATTAAATCATCAGGTTTAGGATCTGGAAATGTATAAGGTTGAATATTATTACCATTTTTTTCTAGCTGTTCCAATGATAATATAGAATATTTTTTCGATACTTTTTCTTTCGAAGCTTTAATTTTTGGATCACGACTTTTGTACGAATTCGAAGAATTTGGAATATAAACTATTTTCTTTATGTATTGAAGTTGATCTTGAAGTTTATCGATTTTTTGTAGTAATGATTCTCCAATGATAAGATATTCGGATTCACTTTGATTCAAACCGTATAAAACACCAGAATCACCAAGTGTCGAAAATAAAGTAACCGTTACAGCGCATAAACGATTCAAAGCCAATGTAACCAGAAACCATTCGACATTACTTTCGGCATAAATCATTACTTTATCTCCTTTCTTTACACCCAATTGTTGTAGACCTCGAGCAATCGCATCAGCCCGATCAAGTATCTGTCCGACTGTCCACCATTTATAATCGGATAGCTTAATTTTAGTTAAAGGTCGACCTTCAACCATGATTGGCTGTCCATTTTGATCATATTGCAATTCTTCACTGATTATTTCTCTTTGGCCAATTTTAGGTTCATCGCGATTGAGCGTAGTCAATGCTTTGCTATATGTATCAATATGAAAATATTTATGATCCGGTCGTATGGCCGCTTGTCTTGAATAAATAATTCGTCCATGTTTATCTTTTTCCATGCGAACAGCAAATGATTTCATTGCACGTAATTTTTGCCATGGTCGTTGATATATCGTATAGAATGGTAAGGTAACAGCCGTATAAGCATTCACAACTAATTTCGTATTCAATAGTGCAATTTTTACCATAAGATTCGACATTTTTCAAACGATGTCAATGATGGAACAAGATAGAAATTTATGGAATTTTTCATTTTTATTTTTTCACGATCGAATGGGTACAAACGTTATTACTAATATTATCATCATTGCTTAAAAATTTTCATATCAATTTTCAGAATAGCCGCGCGTATGATAGTATGATAGTATGTACTCAGTGATCGAAGTAAAAAAAATTGATTGAAATCTCAAATGATAAAAAAAAATCAATGACTTTTCAAAGTAACCAAATTATCATCACGCTATTTTATCATATGACAATTTTTCCGCTATTTATATTCTTTTTTAATGTTTTATTTTTTTTTCTTCTTTGATTTTCAGTGAACGAAATTTAGTGACAAAGTGAAATCTAAGATTCTAAGTTTACAATAAGACACATAACACACATTTATGATAATAAAGATAATAAATAATTTTTTTTTTCGTTTTCGATTCAAAGATTACGGAATGTAGATTCAATGGTATTCTTATAGAAATCAACAACTGTTTTACGACGCATTTTCGATGCAGCTGTCAACATATTATTAGCCTGTGTCCATTCTTCTTTGACCAAAATAATTTTAGCTGGACATTCACGTTTTTTGAATCCAAGTTGTTGACATTTTTGTTGTATGGATCGCCATATTTCATCATTAATCATTTGATCATCACATAATTGTTGAAAATCATGTTTCAAATTTAATTTGGTTGCAAGTTCCAACAATGCTAAACGATTAGGCATTATTAAGGCAATTATTTCGCTACAAAATGGTTCGGTTACAACACATATATTTTCCACATAATCTGATGAACGTAAACCTGTTTCAATCTTTAAACATTAACAATTAATCAATTGAATAAATATTGAATATTTTCACCAAACCTTTCCTAATGAAATATATTCACCATTAGCCAATTTGACTAAATCTTTTTTTCGATCAATAATTTTTAATGATCCATCGGGAAAAACTTCACCAATATCACCGGTAAAGAACCAACGACATCCTTCATCATCGGTGTAGAAATCTTTTTCCGTTTCTTCGGGTTTATTATAATAACCCAAAGCAACGGTAGGACCACCGACAACAATTTCACCTCTTGGATTAGGTTCATCTTTAGTGGTATATCCACCTTCATGCCAATCATCAAGATAATATTTGAAATCATTCAATGGTACACCGGTACGACCATAGCTAAGATCATCAATCATCATGATAGCCATTGGACATGTAGTTTCTGTACTTCCATACACTATTATTCAAAAGAAAAGGAATTTAACATTAACATTATGAAAATTATCATAGTGAAAATTAATAATTACTGTTATAGATGCAAACAAGATTCAATGCTACGGTTGTTAATGCATGAGTACGTTCACTGAATGCAGCACCAGTTACCAAAAGTGCTTGTAATCGGCCACCAAATTCTTGATTAATTTTTTGACAAATCAATCGATTAATGATTGGTGTATCGAAACCTTTTGATCTCCATTGAATTTTATAATCCATAAGATAATCGAAAATTTCTACAGCCAATGGTGAACGTGCATTCAATTTTCGATAAATTTCACTGACAAGTTTTTCAAGCACCAATGGAACAGCCGGAAATAGATCCGGTTTAATCAAATTTATATCACCAACTTGCCCGGTAACATGCGATGGTGAAGAATTGAGCAATGTAAATGGTGATGAAAATCCCATACGGCCATCACTTAGAAAAAATGTCAGAATAGTGGAATAGCCAAATATATGAGCCATCGGTAAGAATACTGGTAAATCGGATCGTGATAATGAAATCGGTTGTTCTAAATCTCTACCCCATAGATTCAAAACACTGGTATAGAAATTTTCATGTGTTATAATTACACCTTTTGGATCACCAGTTGTTCCCGATGTGTACATAATCATCATCACATCATTTGGATTAGCTACCGGAAATTCATAATGTTCAATTAGATCGCCAATCTTTTCAACTTCATTCAATGATGATACCGCATATTTATTGGCTAATTGATTTTTAGCCCGTTGTACTTCAGTATCTCGACTTTTATACGATGCAGGATGATTAGAAATGTAGATGATTTGTTTAATAAATTTAATTTCATCTTGAAGTTTATCAATTTTTGTCAATAATGATTCATCAATGACCAGATAATATGATTCACTTTGATTTAAACCATGTACAATACCGGAATCACTTAATGTAGAGAAAAGTGTTGTTGTAATTGATGACAAACGATGCAAAGCTAAAGCAACCAAAAACCATTCAAGACTTGTTTCAGCATAGATCATAACCTTTTCATTTTGTTGAACACCAAGTTGTTGAAGACCACGAGCAATTGAATCAGCACGATCTAAAATCTTACCTCTTGTTACCCATTGATAATCGGTTAATGTGATTTTCGACAACATTCGACCATTAAACATGATTGGTTTTCCATTTTCATCATATTGTAATTCTTCATTAACAATATCTCTACGACCAACTTTAATTAAATCACGACTTAAATTTTTTAATGCTTCCGAATAGGTTCGATAATTGAAAAGATGACTATCCGGTTGTTTTTTCTGTTTACGTGAATAAATTATTCGGCCATATTTATCTTTGGTCTGTTCAACCTGAAACGAAGTTGATGCTTGTACTTTTTTCCATGGTTTTTGACAAATAAAATAAAATGGTAAAGTTATGGCTGTATAGATGGTAACCACAATTTTCAGTATTGAAATAACAATATTCGATCGCATTGTTTTGTTTTGTTATTTAAATTTTTTTTTATTAATTCAAAAACTTATAGACAACACATCAATGAATTTTCATAAATAAATTTTTTTTGTCTTTCTTATTAATATCACATTCACTTCAAACTTGAAGTAGCTGTTTCAAAATGTTTTGTTACTATTGCTATCATCAAACAAAAAAAGATACAGATCGAATGTTACCATTGATTAATGTTCAATATGATTCGGTTTTTTTTCAATATCTCGAATGATAATAATAGAAATGAATTGATTACACAGTATTAAGTTAAACACAACAGATATTGTTTCGAATAAATTAAAAATAATTTGAAGAAAAAATTGATAAAAAAATCTTAAAGTGAGTAAAAATCGAATAAAAATGATTAGTAAAAAAAAACTTTTTCTGGTCGTTTAGGAAGGGTCCAAGGTAAGAAAAAAACAGGTAGAAAACAAATGGAAGTAGCATGCGCCCGGGTAAAGAGTTCCAAAAAAATTTTTTTTGGTTTGTTTGTTTTTTGAAAGTACAAGTCTTTCGAGAACGAGCAACCAAATTATGGATTTTCTATATGTTCGAAGGAATTTCACCGAAAATGGCTTGTATTTTTTCCTGATAAAATTTTTGAACTGCTTGACGTCGCATTTTGAATGCAGCAGTTAGAAGATTGTTTTCCTGAGTCCATTGTTCTTTGACTATTACAATTTTGACAGGTATTTCAGGTTTTTTAAACGCTAATTGTCGACAACGATCAACGATCGATTCATAAACTTTTTGATTAATTGTCGAATCTTCACACATTTGTTCCAATGATAAATGTTCCTTCTGTAATTCTTTGGCCAATGTTCGAAGTGTTTGTTGATTAGGCACGACTAATGCAATGATTTCATTGCGAAAACGATCGGTACAGATGCAAACATTTTCCACATAACGTGATGTCCGTAAACCGGATTCAATTTTTCCAAGCGAAATAAATTCTCCATTAGCCAATTTAGTTAGATCTTTTTTACGATCAATAATTTTCAATGTACCATCTGGATACAATTCACCAATATCACCGGTACGAAACCAACGACAACCATCTTCATCAACATAAAAATCTTGAGCTGTCTGTTCGGGCATTTTATAATAACCCATTGAAACTAATTTACCACCAATTATAATTTCACCTCGAGGATTCGGTTGATCATCAACACTATAACCGCCTTCGGACCAATTATCGAGATAAAATTTTACCGCATCCAATGGAATGCCACATCTTCCATATGATAGATCTGTCATTGCCATAAAAGTTGAACAGCAAGTAACTTCTGTAGCACCATAACCTATATAATTTTCAAATATAAAAATAAACTCTATGTTTATGAAAATAAAAGAAAGAAATATTTTGTTTACCGATAATAACATTGGCATTCAATGCAGCTTTGATTAAGGCATGTGCACGTTTATTAAGTGGTGCACTACCCGATACGATTGTTTTTAATCGGCCACCAAATTGTTGATTAATTCGTTTACATAAAAATCTATTAATCAATGGTGTATCATAACCTCGCTCTGACCATCGTATTTTATAATCCATTAGATAAGTGAATACAGGAGAGGCAACAGTAGACTTTGAATTCAATTTTTGATAGATTTCTTTGATTATCCTTTCAATTACTAATGGCACACATGTTAGAAGTTCTGGTCGGATCAAACGAATATCACCAGTTTGGCCATGAACATGAGATATTGATGAACTGAACATTGTAGTTGGCGAAGAAAAGGCAATTCGTTTATTGCCCAAATATGCATATAAATTACAAATAAAACCGAATAGATGAGCCATTGGTAAGAATGATAGATAAGTTGATTGAGGTTCAATCAAAGGCCATTCATGATTCCATTTTGATAATGATGATATAAATGATGAAAAATTATCATGTGTTAATATTACACCTTTTGGATTGCCTGTAGTGCCCGACGTATACATTATCATCATTACATCTTCTGGTTTGGCATCAGGAAATTCATATGGTTGAATTTGTGAACCATCTTTTTCCACTTGTTTCATTGAAAATAATTGATAATTTTTTCCTAATCTATCTTTGGCAATTTGAACATTTATATCATTACTTTTATAAGATGCAGGATTATTTGGAATGTAAAAAATTTTCTTAAGATATTGAATTTTATCATCAAATTTATCAATTTTTTTCAACAACGATTCACCAATAACAAGATATGGTGCTTCACTTTGATTAAGGCCATACAATACACCGGTATCACCCAATGTAGAGAATAATGTTATTGTTATAGCACATAAACGATTCAAAGCTAATGAAACTAAAAACCATTCAACATTACTATCAGCATAGATAATGACTTTATCATTTTGATTGATGCCTAATCGCTGTAATCCACGTGCAATAGCATCAGCACGATCCATAATCTCACCGGATGTTAACCATTTATAATCATTACTTAATTCGATTTTGGTCAATTCTTTTCCATCAACAATAATTGGTTTACCATTTTGATCACAGTGTAATTTTTCACTAATTACATTACGTGCACCTACTGCTATTCGATTACGATCCAATGTTTTTAGTAAATCGGTTACTGTTCGATGATGATTAATAAATGAACATTCTAATTCATTAGGACCATTACGATAATAAATATTTCGGCCATTTTTATCTTTATACATTTGTACCTGAAACATTTTTGATTTACGTAATTTTTGCCATGGTCTTTGATATATTGTATACAATGGTAATGTAATGGCTGTATATGTATTTACAAGTAATTTTGTATTGATAACAATAAATTTTGTCATTAAATTCGACATGATTATTGTTTTTCTATAGAAAAATGAAAAATAAAAAAAAAATTCACAGATCGAATTTCAATTAAAAAACACATACCGAGATAAAATTTTTTACAAATTAGAAAAAAAAATCGAATAATTTTGTCTATGGATTTACACGTGTACTCAATAATAATTATATCATCATCATCGTTTGGTCAATGATGTTGATTCGACATAGCAAACAAGTTTTCAAGTAATGAATGAAAAAAAAAGTGAAAATATAGATTTTGTTCTGCCGCCGGAGAGCGAGAGAGAGTAACAACCTAACATTTGTTTTTCCATTAATATCAACTGGTATACTTTGTAATCAAACCCAAAAAAAAAATTCAAAAAAAAACAATAAAAACAATAAAATGGCAGCAGGTTTTTTTCTTCTTTTTTGGCTGCGGTCGTGTCTATATTCTATATCAATGACTTTTGGCATATATGTTTAAGAACACACGGGTACCACTAGAAGTTTTTTTTTGTTTCTGTCCGACAACCAGACCACTACCTAAAGATCATGATGATGGATAAAATTTAAGTGTTCGATTCAAAAAAAAAGAATTCGTTTTTTGAAAAAAATTTTTATTCATTTTTTCCCCCCACTTCTATTCATTTGATCGTAAATTATTATGTAATAATTTTTTTTTCTATAATTCGTATGGAAATGATAATATGTTTATATGTTGTTGGTGTGAATGTTGTGATGATTCGGTATTTTTTTATCGGGTCATAAATATAAGATAGATGGTTAGATGATAATGTTGTTTTTTACGAATGTTTTTAACATATTTTTTACGATATGTTTGTGTGGGTGTTGTTTAATCGTATAAGCGTGTGTTATTATGAACAGTGTTTGTTTTTCTGGTTGAATGCAATTCGGTTTTATTCAATACGTTATTTGATAACGATTTTTAGATATGTTTTTTTTAACGACGGCCATAACCTTTTCCGCCACCACCACCACCGCCATAGCCACCACCACTTCCGCCTCCGTAGCCGCCGCCACCACCTCCTTTACCACCACCACCATAGCCGCCTCCTATTTATATTATTAATCAGAATAATTAGAATCAAAATTCGGAATTTGTTTAAAATAATAAATTGAAAACTTACCGCCGCCACCTTTTCCACCACCGCCACCATATCCACCGCCACCACCTCCACCTCCACCATAACCACCGGCGAATACTGACATGCACATTGATGCCAATAAGACAAAAGCGAAGAAGAATCGAAGTTTCATTGTTAAAATTGTTTTTGTTTTCGAATTGTTTGTTGGTTCGAATCTGATTTTTTCCACTGGCTAATCGGCCATATTTATATGGATCGGAATGGCCATTTTTTTCCCATTCAAATCGATCCAACTCTTTGTATCCATTCATAACATTACACATACATTTTTTCGTTGTTGTTGTTGTCTGTTTTCACCATCATCATCATCATTATCAAAAAAAATATATACAGTAACAGTTGAAGAAAATTTGTCTCTTGTCAAAAATTTGAATCGCAATCCATTCATGCACATCATTTATTGGGGGAAAAAAATTCAGTTTCAATTGGAACTTAATAAGGAAATACATATGATTTTTGTCTCTTTTTTTTCAACAAATTCATTTACACACAAACACACTTGAACAAAGAGAGATACAATATTCGTAATTTTTTCTTGTGAATGACAATGAACTGTTTTTTTTTCTCGTTGTTGTTGTTCTCGATTCATTTTCATTTTCACATGTTCAACAACAAGCAAAGAAAAAAACGAATGGTGACAATCAAGATTATATGGATATAGAAAAATGGTGACAAATGTTAGCCAGGAAAAAAAAAATAACGAATGAATGAATGATTGAATGGCGACCAATTGACCATTATGAAAAATATTAATAAGTTTTTTTTCACCTTTTTAATTTATGGTTTCGATTTTTTTTTACATAACATTACATTATTATACTATTGTTAAACACTAATTATCGATTGATTGTTTATCGATTTTCGCATTTTAGGGCCAAAAGTATTGAATTTTTTTTTGAATGCCAATTGCCCATTACAATGGCATTGTCAATAACAAAACAAAACAAAACAAAAAAGACCATAGAACCGATGAAGCGGAAACATTAATTTTTTTTTGTTGTTGTCTGTTTGTTGTCGCCATCGTCTTCATACAAGGTCAACATTTAGACAATGTTTTAGGCAGACATAGAAAAAAAAATGGCAAAAATCTATTTTCAAAAAAAAATTGGCCAAAATGTTATTCAAATCAAGGCCAAGACATATCACACACATATATAATCATTCGAGTGAAAATAAAATTATCAATTATCAAAGATCCAAAAGATAAGACCAAATAGAAAAATTGTCATCATCATCATCATTATTGTTCGATAATAATCTAATCAATTCTTAATGTAAAATCGATTAGTTTTGATAATTAATTTATTTTTCAATTGAAAAAAGAAAATTATGAAACAAAAATTTGCCATTGTTATTGGACGTTGACACAATCGATTTCGATATTGAGAATCATCGATTGTTTCATCAATGAATTGTTTTTGTATTTTTCCTTCTCTTTATCATCTAATATTAAGGTTAGGTTGGCGACAAAACACATCCATAATTCAAAAGATGATGTTTTCCTAATGTAGAATAGACATTAATTAACATGGGACGAAAAAATTTTGTTTGTTTGTTTGTTTGTTTTTCTCGTTTCTATGTGAGAAAAAAAAAATGTCAGGTAAATTCAATTTTTGTTGTTGTTGTTGTAATTCTTCATTTTATCACATACACACTTTTCAATGTTTGAAGGATTCTACGTAGGGAAACAAAAATAATAATCAATTTGTTTCATTATATGACGCGAATAATGTTGTTTGGAACATTATTTTTTTTTTTGAGTATCATCATCATCATCAACAACAATGATAATCATTCAGACATTGAACAATATTGCATAATTCCCCCCCCCCAAAAAAAAAGAAGAATGATGTTGATGATGATGATGATGATGAAAATAAAGATGCTATTTGAAATAGGATCGTCAAGGTTTTTCTTCTTTTTGTTTTTTCTTGTTCTTCAAGTTAACACCATAAAGAAGAACTTAGAAGAAAAAGAAGAAAATTACATTATTGTTATTAAATAAGATTTATTACAGGGACAATTATTATGAATTAATGATGATTTTTTTTAAAAACATTGATTCCAATGATTTTTGTTGTTGTTTTTTTTCTGATTAATTGAAAATTTTTTTTGTGTGTTATTGATTTTGTTTTGTTTGTTTCCATTATTATTGTATTGATGATGTTGATGACCGGACGTTATACGTTATTTATGAAAGACCTTGTTGTTATGGATCATTAAATAATAGCCATGAACATTTTCCAACAAAAAAAACAAGACAAAAAATTCATTCAACATTCGGTTGAATATCACATCATCATTTGAGAACAATTTTTGTTGTTGTTGTTTGATTCAACGACCGGAAAAGGTCGAATATGGCTGCTGTTGTTGTTGTCCAAGTTTATCATCATCAACAACAACAACTATATGGACTAACAAGTCTGTGATTCCATGTCGAAGGTCATGAGAAAAAAATTAAATTAAATTTTTTTATTAATTAAATAAAGATGATGATGATGATGATAATCACATTGAGTGATTTGTCGTAATTGATCGAAATAAAATATCATTCATTGATTCAATTCAATTTCACTGATTATTAATTTAATTCAAAATTTAAATTAGAAAACAAAAAAATGTTTGAAACAGAAAATTTATTCAAATTTTTTCAAAAATTTTCAAAGATAATCACAAGACATGAATGAAACAATTACAAAATAATGATTTTTTTCAATAATAAAAAATAAATAAAATTTTGAAAATCTGTTAAAATTTTTTTTTTGTAAGTAGATTTTTTTCAAATGGATTCCATTAATTTCATTCATCAGTAATGACCATGTCCATGTCCATAACCTGAAAAATTTTTTTAGGTGAAAAAAACCAACCGAGAAGAAAATTTGAATAAACAATCTTACCATGATGATGTTTTTGTTTATGATAACGTTTTGAATGGCCAACATGTTTTTTACCATAACCATGATGACCATAACCACCATGTTTATGGCCATGTTTTTTCCAAACATGTTTAATTTTCAATTTATGTCCATGATGACCATGATGACCATAGGCTTCGGTACTGATCAACAATAAACTCAACATAAACAAAACGGTAATCAAAATGAATTTCATTGTTCGTTTGTTTTTTTTGCTATGTTTGTTTTTGAAAAACCAAAAATTATTATTTCAATCAAAACTTGAATCGATACAAATCGAAATCTGATTCTATTCTAATCGATTGGAATGGATTTTTATAGGCAAACCAAAAAAAAATTTATAAAAAGAAACATTTTTTTTTTTTGATTTATTTCTGGTGACAAACGGTAACAATAACCAATCTCAACATAAGAAAAATATCAATGTCATTTTGTTTTTTGTAATTTTTCAATGTTTAAAATTAGATCTGTATCTTGACAAACAAACAAAAAATTTAATCATTTCATCAAAAAATTGTCATCTTTACAAAATGATTTCTTGTTTTTCTTGTTTTCTTGTTGCTGTTCTGTTGGTACGAATTTTCTCAATCACCGGTATTTTTTTTTTGGTTAAATTGTTGAAATTGTTGGAGAAATAAAAAAATGAAATCTATTGATCATTATCATTGTTGAACAACAACAGCAAAAATTATTCATTTGGAGAAAATCAAGACAAACGTTTTGAAATAGTTGAAATATTTTTGTTTTCTACATTATTATCGATTGAAAATAAACATTAGAATTGATAATTGACAAGTAAAGTTTTTTTCAAAAAAAAACAGCCGGATGTAGAAATAGGTCCTTTAAAAAAAAATAACAAATTAAAAACTTTGGCAAGAAAGAAAATTTTGTTTTACGCAAATCAATATTATTATCATTCATTCATTTGTTGTTGTTGTTGTTGTCCAAGGCTGGCGCCATTCTTTTCATGTTTTATGATAATTTTGAAAGAAGACCAAAATTACATCCAACAACAAAAAAAACCGTATGTGTTAAACAGATGATGTAATTTTTTTTCTTCAAATTTTTCATTAATCAATCGATTTTTTCTTTTTTTCACTACGTCACTTTGTCGGAAAATTCATTATCATATCTGATCTTGAACAAAGATATAAGTGTGTAATGTAGGACAAAGTTTCCAATTATAAATTATCGATTCTTTAGATCAAATTTGACATGAGTTGATTGAATTGAATATCATTCTCATAAATGTTTATAAATGAATGAAATTTCTTTCAATCTTTTCATATAATTGATTTTCAAAACATCAAGATCATTCCATGAATCCGTAATCTGATAGTCGTTTTTTTTCCTGCTAATTATTCAGTGATTTTTTTTCTGTTTGGCACATATGGATGTTCGATGATAAATTGATTAAAAAAAACAAGTCTCACATGATTTTTTTTAAAATATTTATTTATTTGCTTACCTTCAAAGTATTGCCATCATCATCATAATAATCATCATCGTAGTTGTCCTTCTTTCATCAATGTTATATGTTATGTAACGGCAACAACACAGACATACAATTTCTAAGTAGCTAATTTACGCAATTTTCAAAAAAAAAATCACAATAGATTCAATTGAATAATTGTTTTTTTATTTTTCCCGTAGGAAATTGATTAAAATTTGAAAATGAACAATTCAAATTCGAATGAAATAGAATCGGATTCGCGAATTGAAAAAAAAATCAAAAAGCGACATCTAGTGATGGACAGCCGTATGGAATCGGTACCACATGATTATTATCCATCATTTTGGATAAATTTCAAAATTCTTTCTCATTTATTATATCATGGTTGTTGCAATCGGTTTTGAAGGATCGGCCAATAAATTAGGTATTGGTATTGTTCGCGATGGTGAAGTATTGGCCAATCCTCGTGTCACTTATATAACACCACCAGGTGAAGGATTTCAGCCAAGATTTACCGCCGTTCATCATCGATCTCGAATATTGAATCTTCTAAAAGAAGCTTTAGATATCAGTGGTCTTGAACCAAAAGATATTGATGTTATCTGCTATACTAAAGGACCAGGAATGGGAGCACCATTAGTTTCTGTTGCTGTTGTTGCTCGATGTTTATCTTTATTATGGAACAAACCAATCATTGGAGTAAATCATTGCATTGGACGTGAGTATCATTTGAAAAATCATTCTTTTCATTTATGTTAATGTTGATCAACTTTAGATATCGAAATGGGACGTTTAGTAACCGGATCAAATAATCCAACCGTTTTATATGTCAGTGGAGGCAATACACAAGTGATTGCCTATAGTGAGAAAAGATATCGTATTTTTGGTGAAACTATTGATATTGCTGTTGGTAATTGTTTGGATCGATTTGCACGACTCCTAAAACTCTCAAATGATCCTAGTCCTGGTTATAACATTGAACAAATGGCTAAAAAGTAAAATTTCCAAATTTTCATCATGTATTATGAATTTTTATTTATATTTCATTTTAGGGGTAAAAAATTTGTTCATCTACCCTATGTAGTCAAAGGAATGGATGTTTCATTTTCCGGTATTATTTCCTATATTGAACCGAAAATTGAAAAATGGCTTGAAAGCGGTGAATACACTAAAGAAGATCTATGTTTTTCCGTTCAGGAAACAATGTTTGCCATGTTGGTCGAAACAACTGAACGTGCTATGGCTCATACCGGATCCGATGAAGTTTTGATTGTAGGCGGTGTTGGTTGTAATCTTAGATTACAGGAAATGATGCGTATAATGGCTGAAGAACGGAATGCTAAATTACATGCTACCGATGATCGATATTGTATCGATAATGGTGCTATGATTGCCTATGCAGGTGCATTAATGTATAAATCTGGACAAACGACTGATTTTGATGATACATTTTGTACACAAAGATTTCGAACGGATGATGTTCTAGTCACATGGAGAGATTAGGATATTATTATTTTTTGAATAAAATTTTTTTTGAATATGACTTTGAAAAGCGCGAGAATCGAATTGCGATAAAATAGTGCCGTCTATTTCGACTCACTCACATGTGTCATTGTTTGTTTTTTCTGCCGACATATACTCATCACGCGCAATCATTATTTTAATGACCAAGACAAAAATTTTAGAAAAAAACATGAATTTTTTGAAAAATTAGTTTCTAAAGTTTTTTTTTTGACAATGAATTCTCATCATAAATGGCAATTGTAATAGTTTCCGAAATTGACCATATCTTTTTCAAATTTTTATTCACAGATTTGTCATAAATTTAAAATCTTTGAAACTTTGATCAATTATAATTGTATTATTTTACATTACAACATGGAAGAACTCGTGGCACCTATTATCGATATAAAATTCGATATTGAAAGAGATCTTGATGAACAAATTGGAGCATTACCGTTACCATTTCCAGGTATGGATAAATCTGGTTCTGCTACCTGTGTGTTTCATATTCGTGGTATCTGTCAACGTGGATCAATGTGTCCATATCGACATATCAAACCGGATCGTACAGTTGTTTGTAAACATTGGCTTCGTGGTTTATGCAAAAAAGGTTAGCATCAAACTAATAATAGAAATGGATTAATTAACAAGTCTATTATTTTTCCAAAAAATGTTTTCGAAAGGTGATTCCTGTGAATTTTTACATGAATATAACATGTCCAAGATGCCTGAATGTTATTTCTATTCAAAATTTCGTGCCTGCAGTAATAAAGAATGTCCATTTTTGCATATTGATCCGGAAACAAAAATTAAAGATTGCCCATGGTATGATCGTGGATTTTGTCGACATGGTCCCAATTGTCGTCATCGTCATACACGTCGTGTTGCATGTTTGAATTATCTTTGTGGATTTTGTCCGGATGGTCCTGGCTGTAAATTTATTCATATGCGTTTCGATATACCAATTCCAGCCAATTCAACTGATCCATCGGCACCAAAAAAACCTGGTGTTGTTTGTCATTATTGTAATGAAGTTGGTCATAAGATTTATACCTGTAATCAGATTCCACCTGAACAACGGGATGAACTTATTCAACGATTTAGCGAACAGGTAATGAATATAAATTCAACTTTTAAAATTAATGATTTTTTTTTATTTCTTGAAAATTTAGTACAATTTTCACTATGTTAGTCCTGAGAATCGTTACTATCCAAATCATCATCATCCTAATCATCATCAACAACAACAACAGCAGCAACAACAACAACAACAGCAACAAAATTCAAATAATTCTGATGATCAAGCAAATCAGCCGAAAACTAAGCCATCATATAGACCAATAGATCAGGTTACCTGTTTCAAATGTGGTGAAAAAGGACATTATGCAAATAAATGTCCAAAAGGCTATCTTGCATTCCTAAGTCCGGCCCTAAAAGATTTACATCAAAAACGTAATCAACAATCATCAAATAATGCTATTATGGATCAATCAGAATCCTAATCGAAAATGTAAATATTAATTGCGGGGTAATGAATTTTGATTGCATGTTTGAAAAACGAAAACACTTATACCAATTAATTCATATAATAATTTAATCATCATTTAATGTATCATGTAAATACAAATTTTTAATCAATCAATTTGTTAATTATTAACAAGAAGGAAATGGACGTTCGAAATCTATCCTAGATGTTGAGAAACGATTTCGACATAAATAAGTAGCGACCACTTGTGCGACTGAATCAGGATCATCTTCCTGTATAACGTGGCCAACACGTGGAAGAATTTGCATTTGAAATTTGCCTTGCATTTGACCAACGGTCATCGGACCATCCAAACGATCTACACCAGCCAATAATAAAAGTTTGGCGCCACCTTTTGAATTTAAAAATATTTGAGAGAGATTATCAAACCATTCCATCCAGAATGGTTCTGTATGTGCCAGATTAATTCGCCAAATAAATTGTTTATCTGATGATTTTAAATCATCTGAAGTAGCGACAACCGGCTTATTTTCTGATATAGGTGAATCTTCACTCAGTGTTGATAGACCGAATGAATTTATGGGCATATCAGTATGATGGGATTCATCGTGTGTTTCAGATCTGGTATCTAATACCAAATCGGCAGCACAAATTCCAGTTTGACTTTGTTTAATTTGTCCAGGCATCGAAATTTTAGCTGCTTCTATATTCCTTGTTTGATTACTTCGAACACACCATTCAATTGCATTTTCGATGGATCTGAAACCCGAAGGTCGTGATTGAAGCACTTGTTGCATCTGAGATAACGCCTGTTTAGCAGTTCCTTCAACTACATCAATCACAATCAATCCGAGTATTCGTGAATCAATTGATGGTTCCGAACATTTATCAACAAAATGAGCTGCCAATGCACCACCCATACTGTGACCCATTAGAATAAGTTCTGGCATTGATTGATTGAACATTTTAAGCAATACCTGAGTGATGTCATTAACCATTGTGGCAACGCTTAAATCTTCATCATTTGAAGTATGTGATGAACCATGACCACGAATATCGATGGCCATTACGCGAACATTACACAATTCAACCAATGATTTAACGAATAATGACCATGTAAGTGCAGAGAAACCTCCACCATGTAACAGAATCAATACAGGCATATTATCAATCAATTCAGATTGTTCGTGTAAATAGACACGAAAAACATTGCCATCATTGATCGTGATATCTTGTTGAGCAGTAAAATACTCTGACCAATGGGAAGGAGTAAAATCACGTTCTGATTTTCGTCGTAATGCAAAATGTTTCGAGGCTAATAATCGTCCCGAAGGTGATGGTCGTGCCGGACCGGATAATGGTGGAAGTAATTTACGCATATGTGGCGGCAAACCTGAAGGATTTTGCATGATTTTTCAATTATATTGAATTTTCATTAATTGTCTAAATGCCAAAATAGAATAAAAAAAAGAGTTTTCAATTGATCATTAGTCAAATAAATGGAACACAATCATTTCATTAGTTATCAAAATTGTTGTTGACAGAGAAATAACTTTATCTTTTTGCAACAAACAACAAAGAGAAATTGGGTCAAGAATCAAAATTAAAATCGGCTATGTCAACCTAAACATTGTATGATTTAATCGATGTAAATATAAATATAGATGGAGCCATCAAATTATTTTTGTTTGAAAGATGTGTGTTGGGGGAAGGGTGTCTGCCAATGTTTTATGTGTGTAAGCATTCATGATGAGTATTTTAATTTTTGGTAGAAGTCTATATAAATGAATGACTCGTATTGTAAACATATACACCACAGATAAATAAATGAATGATATATGCGCATTTAGATGATCAGAAAAAAATAGATGAGAAAAATAGAAAAGAAAATCAACAAACGACAGCAACAACCTAACTTTGAATTCAATTCAATATATTTTTGCAACACATTTTGTTTTGTTTTTTTAGTACCAATTAGCATCAACAAATAACGACGACGACAACGACTGCAAATACTCAATTGAATTGACAAAAAAAAATAAATATAATTTGTTTGTGGCGTATTTCGATAAGTGTTTCTTTTTTGTTGTTGAAAAACTTCAATTTCATTTTATCAATCATTCTACGAATTAATTAAAAATATTTTCAAAGTTATTCAAAAAAATAAATCAAATTAGTTTTAAATATAAATTATTCAAATTACGAATTTGGTAAGTTAAATTAAATTCTTGATTTAAGATTGTGATTCATCAATCATCATCATCAACTATGCATTTCGAATGCATTTTTTTCACTATTTGCTTTTCCCCCATTAATCATGTATCCAACATTAGTGTGTCAGAAAAATTTATTAGTGAAACAAAATAGATAACTGATGAGTAAAACAGTTGTTTAGTTAACCATAAATGAATTTGAATAAATGTCATCGCTAAATGGATTCGGCGCATCTTGTTTTGAATATATTGGAAACGATTTCCAAAAATTAAATCTAAATATAATATAAACACTTTATGATCCAAATGATAATCGTTTCTCTTCTTTACTTTTAATAATCAAATATTTTATTGACTAATTAATTAATGAAGAATGAAGATTCCAAGTTGAATGCTTCGATTCACTTGGTTTTGTGATTCGTAACAATAATAATAATCAAGATATTATTCCATATGGCAGTAATTTGGGAAATCTTTGTTTTTTTGTTTGTTTGTTTGTTTGTTTGCTTTCGCTCATTTGCTATTTATCCAGATAATAGAATCCTAATTCAAGTTGTGAAATTTATTTCATACGAACAACAATTCATTCATATCGTTATTTACTATAGTAGTTTTACAACAGGAAAAAAATAGATACCAACAGGATATATAGGGATTCTATATAGTTTTGAATTGATTTTGTGCTCGAATTTACGTTTTACATCATCTTTTTTCCTATTATTGCTAACGTTAATTTATGTTTTGGCCAACACGATATTTCTTGTTTATTTTTCTGCCTTTTGTGAAAAAAAAAATCATTCATTCGAATTGATTTTGATACTTGTAGCCTTTTGTGCTGAATATTTTTTGAATTTTATTTTGTTCTTTTTTCATTTTTAAATTATTCAGGCAATATTTGATCGATTTTGTTTTTTAAAGTGAAAAACAAAAATGTCGTATGCTTATTTATTCAAATATATTATTATCGGTGATACTGGTGTCGGTAAATCATGTCTATTGTTACAATTTACCGATAAACGTTTTCAACCGGTTCATGATCTTACGATTGGTGTTGAATTCGGTGCCCGTATGATTACCATTCAAAATAAACAGATTAAATTGCAAATATGGGATACGGTTTGTTTTGAATCTATTTCGTTTATGAATTATCGAATTAATCTTTTTTTAATCTTAATATTAGGCCGGTCAAGAAGCTTTCCGTTCTATAACACGATCTTATTATCGAGGTGCGGCTGGTGCATTGTTGGTCTATGATATTACACGTCGTGAAACATTTAATCATTTGACCACTTGGTTAGAAGATGCACGACAACATTCCAATTCATCAATGGTCATCATGTTGATTGGTAATAAATGTGATTTAGAATCACGCCGTGAAGTTCGTCGCGAAGAAGGAGAAGCATTTGCACGTGAACATGGCCTAATATTTATGGAAACATCAGCAAAAACGGCTGCAAATGTTGAAGAGGCTTTCATCAATACGGCCCAAGAAATTTTCGACAAAATTCAAGAAGGTGTCTTTGATATTAACAATGAGGTTTGTTTAATCCAATTAAAATCCCAAATAATTTTCATAATTTTCATATTGGTTCAGGCAAATGGAATCAAAATTGGACCACAATTATCACCATCAAATCAAAAATCTTCATCTGGTAATCAAGCACTTGGTACTGGTGGTGGATGTTGTTAAGATGTGGAATTAATAGACATTCATCATCATGATCATCAATCCATTTTTTTCAATTTTTAACATCCTATCACAAAAATTCTCGATGAAATAATATGGCAAGCGAAAAACTAACAGAATCTTTTAACTTTTATTTTTATCATCATTTTGGATTGCAAATCAACAATAACCAACCAATATTCTATTCTCTAATCTTTGTCTTTTTTTTTGATGAAAAACAAATTCCGAGACATACAAGATCTAACCAAAAGAAAAAATATTTCAAACTAGTCATTATCAAGAATGAACGTTATTTTATTGATAACAATGATGTTTGTGGTGAAGTGAATGATTTTGTTTAAAAAAAACTATCATACTGGCTATTTCTAATTGTTTACTTATACCATTTTTATTCCTCATTATTGATATTATTTGTCTAAACAATGACACATTCCTTTCAATTTTATTCCTTTAAAACCCCCCTTCATCTCACATATTAATCGATTTAAAATTCAAGTACAAAATTGCCATTACCATCACAAAATAAACCCAAATGAAAAAAAAAATTCGTTTTAAATTTTTGACCTTTAATATCACTCACAAATTACATCTCCATAATATTTGCTCTTTAAAATTAAAAAAAAAAATATTACAATCTATGATTTTGTTTCTGGTTGTTTTTCTTTTGCTGTTTCCTCTTGATTCCAATCCTGCAGGCCTTTTGGCAAAGTTGTATCTTCTTCAAGACTGCCTGTTCCTTCGACGAAATCTTCATATGTAGATTTTTCTTTGAATGGACGTTTACCCAAAAGTTCAATCATATCTTCACGATCAAGAATTTCTTTTTCAAGCAAACGTTTTGCTACCTGTTGTTATTTGCAATGAATTGATTAATTATACAAACTATTAATGAACATGAATTTTGAACTAACCTTTTCTACGTTAGATTTATGTTGTGTTAATAAATCGATTGTACGTTGATATGCTTTGCTGACTAAATCTCTAACTTCTTGATCGATCATCTGAGCAGTTTCTTCGCTATATGGCTTATCAATGACTAATTCACCTTTGTCAGGCATATCGAATGAAAGATTTCCGACTTTTTCGCTCATACCAAGTTGGACGATTTGTGAATAGGCAATTTTCGTTACTTTTTGCAGATCATCTTGGGCACCCGATGTGATACGATTGAAAAATATCTGCTCTGAAGCTCTTCCACCTAATGTCATACACATTCGATCCAATAATTGTTCTTTTGTATAAAGATATTGCTCTTTCGGCAAATATTGAGCATAACCCAATCCCATGCCACGAGGTATGATGGATACTTTGAGTAATGGATCAGCATGTTCCAAAAACCAACCACAAACAGCATGGCCAGCTTCATGATAGGCGACGGTTTTTTTCTCTTCTGGTTGCAATACTTTTGTTTTCTTTTCCAATCCAGCCACCACACGTTCAATTGCGGCTTCAAAATTTTTGAATGTAATAGATTGACTCAGATCACGAGCTGCTATTAAAGCAGCTTCATTGCATACATTAGCAATATCGGCACCAGTGAATCCAGGTGTCAATGCAGCTAATTTACGAGCAATTTCCGATTTATCCAGATCAGTTTTCAATGGTTTTAGATGAACTTTGAAAATTGAAGCTCGACCTTTGATATCTGGTGGTGGAACAAATATTTGTCGATCAAAACGACCAGGCCTTAGCAATGCTTTATCAAGGATATCTACACGATTAGTAGCGGCTAACACAACAACGTTTGAAGCCGTATTGAAACCATCCATTTCGACTAATAATTGATTTAATGTGTTTTCCTGTTCACTATGACCACCTATACTACGGCCACCACGTTTACGTCCAACAGCATCGATTTCATCAATAAATAAAATGCATGGAGCATTTTTACGTGCCATTGCAAACATATCTCGAACACGTGAAGGACCAACACCAACAAACATTTCTAGAAACTCGGAACCAGATACAGTGATGAAAGGCACTTTAGCTTCACCGGCTGTTGCTTTGGCCAACAAAGTTTTGCCAGTACCAGGTGGTCCAGTTAGAAGTGCGCCTTTTGGAATTTTAGCACCTAATTCGGTGTATCGTGATGGATTTTTAAGAAAATTAACAAATTCCATTATTTCCAATTTAGCCTCTTCACAACCAGCCACATCTCTATAAATAAAAATGAATTACATAAACTTTTGTAGCCAAACAATTTCTGAACAATTTACTTGAATTTTACAGGAATATCTTTCGGATTTATCAATTTGGCAGTCGATTCACCCATACCGAAAATTCCGCCACCTTTTCGCGCACCACCCATTACATTACTGGCTCTACGCATTGACCATAATATTAGACCGATGATCAAAGCTGTGGGCAAAAACGAAATAACATGGGAACTGGATTTGTTTGATGATATTTATTAATTCGATTTTGAAAGATAAAAGACAATCATACCTATCGATTTCGTTTTTATAAACAACAGGCGTAAAATTGGCAGGTTCAATATTCATTTCGAGTTGAATATTCTCTAAATTTCGTTCAAATGTTTCGACACTGCCAATATTGAACCAAAGTGTAGTATTGGATGAAACAGGTGCTCCAGGCATAAATTTCACTCGGACCCATTTTTTATTAACAACTTCAAGTTTTTCCACCATTCCCCCTCGAAGATATTGATTGATGAATTCTTTCCAAGTAATTTCATGATATCGGATTTTGAAAAATGAATAACCCATCAACAATGTGAAAGTAGCGGCGAAACCAATCAATGACCACATGTTTGTATCGGTTGGACTCGGTCCACTTGATCCACCGCCACCACCACCGGGTCGAGTACCAAATGAAAATTTAAATTCTATTTCTTTCGGTTTCTCTGCTCCAGATTGCTGTTGTTGAGTCTTCGGTTGTTGTTGTTTTTGTGATTGTTGAGGTTTTTGTTTAGGAAAAAATTTACCGAATCCATCGGGTGCTTTTTGCTGTTGATCGTTCAATAGTCGGAAATCTCTGATCAAACGATAATAAAAATTTCGAAATAAACGTAGCTGTTTACCTCTTAAATTTATTACGAATGAAAGCATGTTCACGTCTAGAAATCGAATGACTTTTATTTTCATGTTAATCATAAAAAACCGCGTGTACAAGACCGCGTGAAAACAAGACCGCGCTGCTCACTCGAGTGAGCAGCCCGCTCATATACAATGTTACAAATAAAATAATAAGATTAAAATACAATGATTATACGACATCCCCCTCCTTAAGAGGAAGTATGTAAGTTGACAGGTTTTAAGTTCCGGACGGAATGGATAGATTGTTGGCCGTTGTTCGTAACCAGGTATCNAAGACCGCGTGAAAAAAAGACCGCGCTGCTCACTCGAGTGAGCAGCTCGCTCATATACAATGTTACAAATAAAATAATAAGATTAAAATACAATGATTATACGACATCCCCCTCCTTAAGAGGAAGTATGTAAGTTGACAGGTTTTAAGTTCCGGACGGAATGGATAGATTGTTGGCCGTTGTTCGTAACCAGGTATCTTGACGCTGATAATTTATCCACAATTGTTTCTGGTCCTCTATACAATTCGTCCAGTTTCTTCCGGTTAGGATTGACCTCGTTTACTATAAGCACTTGATCTCCTGGAGAATATTCGATTTGCTCTCTATATCTGTTGGCCCTTTGTTCGGTGTACAAACGACTTTTCCGATTGTTCTCGTTTATCGTTTCCAGCAGTTCGATTGATGGATTTTCGATGGCAATCTCGTTTGGCTTGAATTTCGTAGCCGAATGTACTGTTTCATTGTAGATGTCGACAACTTTGTATGCTGCTTGTGTCCAAGAGATGTTGATAGTTGGGTCGTTGATGATAGCTCTGATTTGATTTACTATAGTTGAGTTGACGCGTTCGACCATACCGATGGATTGTGGTGAATATGGTGGTGAATGTTCGTATCTGATTTGTAATCTATTGATGAAACTTTTTAATCTTCTCGAATTCAACGCTGGATAATTGTCGCTTCTAATACAATCTGGTTTTCGGTCGCATAAGACTCTGTTGATTAGATTGATGAAATCGATAGTTGATTGTGTCTTTGAGCAGATGTGCCAGACTTTTCTGGAAAACATGTCGATAGCCAGATGGAGGTAACATTTTCGACTCGTTCCATATTTCATTCCTCCGATCGAATCAATCTGAATTACTTCGAATGGCTTGCTTGTACTTGTCGAATGGAACAGGCCTAATTGATTGCTAGGTCTTGATTTATTCTTTGAACAAATCAGACATTTTTTGACTACTTTTCTTACGTCTTCGTCGATATTAGGCCATCTGAATCTTTGTTTGATGTGAGGCAACATCTTTCCAGTAGAAAGATGTCCCAAGTCGCGATGAACATGCTGGGCGACTTCTTCTCTTAATTGTGGTGGGACAAATCGTTCCCCGTCGTATGTGATATTGTTGTTAGAAACATTGCATCTCGTTGGTACTTGATTATTCGCGATCAACTGGCGGTTTGCGTCGTTGACTCTGCTCAAGATCGGATCGTCGTCACAGAGGTAAACTGCAATTGTTGGCGTCGGATTTCTGGATAATCTATCAGCCTCAATATTCGCCTTCCCCCTCTCATAAACGATGTTATAGTCGTATTGGCTTATTTCGATGCTCCATCGTGCCAATCTAGCATTTGTTAATTTAGTTTTTCTCAACCATTGTAGTCCACAATGATCAGAATGAATTATTATCTTTTTGCCATCTACATAGTGGTGCCAATGTTTTAGGCTTTCGACAATCGCCAGGCACTCTAGTTCGGTTATGGTGTAGTTTCGTTGATATGGTTGGAGCGATCTGGAGAAATAATGCACTGGTTTGAGGATGCTATCATGTTGTTGCTTTAGCACGGCTCCAATTCCTTTTGTTGATGCATCAGTAAAGATGTGAATTTGTTTTTCTGGATTGAAGATCGCAAGGATCGGTTCTTTAACCAGTAATTGTTTGATGGTGTCGAAGACGTTTTGTTGTTCGGTGCTCCAGCGAAACTCGGTATTTTTTCTAAGCAGATTGGTGATTGGTGAAAGCAAAGCCGAACAATTTGGAATGAACTCTCTGTAGTATTGAACGTGTCCGACAAATGATTGTACTTCTTGAATATTTTTGGGAGGTTGAATAGCGGTGATTACTTCGATGTTTGATTTTAGTGGTCTGACTTCGTTGTGACCGATTGTGTGACCAAGATAGTTAACTTTTGATTTTGAAAATTGACATTTTGATTTTTTCAATTTGATGTTTTCTGACGAAAATGCTTTGAATATTTGCTCGATGTGTTCAAGGTGTTGCTGATAATTATTGGAAAATATTAGTACGTCGTCCATATAATTAGATGCGAATGCGTCCAGTTTATGTTTTCTTAGGATTCTATGCAGAGCACGTTGAAATATGGCTGGCGCATTTTTAAGCCCAAAGGGCATCACGTTCCATTCAAATTTGCCGCTGAACGTGACAAAGGCGGTTTTGCATCGGTCTTCTTTTGCTATTTGAATGTGATGGAAGCCTGATGCGACGTCTAATGTGGTAAAGAATTTGCAGTTGAGCGTTTGATCGATTAGTTCTCCGACGAGGGGATAAGGGTACGTTTCGTTTGTTGTTATTTGATTCAATTTTCGGTAGTCCACACACAACCTTGTTTTCCTACCGTCATCTCTTTTGTCTGCCAAGACCACTGAGAACGAGTATGGTGAGTTCGACTCAGATATAAGTCCCGTTCTCAGCAATTCGTCGGTGATATTTTTGATGATTTGATTGTTTTGTTCGGAATGTCGAATTGATCTCGTGTTGATTGGTATGTTGTTTGTTAGGTGAATTCGACATTTTTCGTTTTGAATTGTACCGACATCATACTTGGATTTTGCAAAGAGATTTGAATATTTGTCGATTAATTTCACGATGTCTTCGTTGGTCTCTTCTTCTGTCGAACACGATGATACTAGTTTGTTTTGAATTTGTTGTTTTTGAGATGGTTCGATTGTCACGTAGTTTGTTTCGAGTTGAAGATCGCTTAAATTTTGGACGATTTCGCCGTTTTTTCGTTGTTCGAGATTGAAGAGATAGATTATATCTAGTCCAATTATGATATCGTGGCATGTTTTTTCGCATACCTCGAAGTTGATGTCGTTTTGCAGAAGTCCTATATTGAGTGTTACTTTGGCCCGACCAACAGTCTTTTCTCTAGATGAATTTGCTGTAATGATTGTTCGTGATTTTTTTGAAAATTTATTTTGGTGAATTTTTATTTTTTTCAGCATTTTGTGGTTTATAATGGAGACTTCAGCTCCTGAGTCGTACAAAGCATTACAGATGATATTATTGATCATAATTTTTATGATGATTGGTCTGGGAGTGTTGGTTTTTGTTGGTCGGGCTTCTAAAAATCCTGCGGCAGTTCTTGTATGGTTGTTTCATCTACTGTGTCGATGCTGTTCACTTGTGCAGGTCTTGGTCGATTATTTTTGCACAGATATGTGGCGTGATTGCCATTACATTTTAAACAAGTCTGGTTGCATTGTTGGTCGTTTCGAAATCGGTGATTTCCACATTTGATGCACACTTTTGCAGTTTTCAATTTAGAGATTAATTCGGTTAAATTGGTGGTGGTCAATTTTGGACATTTGTCAATTTTGTGATTTGTTTGTTTACACAAAGGACATTGATTTGTTGGTATATTTTGTTGTCTGTACTGCTGCTGACGCTGGTACGACGGTTGTTCGAAGTTTTGTGGTCTTTTTAGTCTGAGACTTAGCTCTCTCATTTCTTGCACGTATTTGAAGATAAATTCTAGGTTATGTTCGTTGTTGGCCCGAAGGCTTGGCATAACATCGTTAGGCAATTTTGCCATGATTTGTAATTTTATATTTTCTATTTGTACGGGATCGTTTATTCGTTGTTTAGCTTTCGCTAAAACATTGTAGATTGCATCCCATCCTTTGAAGTCGGTCGATGAGTTGAATTTAGCACATTTATTGATTTGTGCGCGAACTTCGTCGAATATTATGATAGGAGAGTCGTATTCTAGGTCGAGCATTTTAAAGATTTGTTCGATAGATTCTTCATCTTGTGCATTGCATACGATATCTAATGCTCGTCTAGATTCTTTTACTGCTGTTTTGAGGTATTCGTATTTGATCGCGTTTGATACAGTCGTATTGATCACTATTTCATAGAATTGCTTCTTAAATCGTTGATACGTAAGGACATTGCCGTCGAATCGTGGAATTGAAGATTCTTTGATTTTATCGTTGTTGTTGTTAATTGATGGTAGTGTTTCTACTATTGATGTAGCTTTAATTTTTTGCAATTTCTTCGTAACTTTCAACATTTCAGTGAGTTCTTCTGTTGTTGCTATTGTACATTTTTTCGTAATTTGGTGAAGAAGTTCGTTAATTATCATTTGTGATGCCGAATCGTTATACGGATTGTCAGCAAATGCTTCATAAGTAATATTGGCTCGGTCAATCAGTTCTTTGATTTGATTTCGGTTTGCCGTTTCGGTAGGGATAAGCGTAAATTTTACTGATTGATTGCTCATAATCGTTTTTGTTACATCGTTGGTATTTGTAGATGTTGTGTTCGTTACTGTAGTAGTTGTGATTGTCGTAGTCGTTGTAGTCATGTTGATTTTCGGGAAATTAAATATAATCGTTGAGTATAATCGTTGAAAATAATCGTTGATCTGTAAAAAAAAACACAAAAAATATTTGCTCGAAAATTTGTTCACGACTTGCTGGCTTGTTCACGTCTAGAAATCGAATGACTTTTATTTCATGTTAATCATAAAAAACCGCGTGCAAAAGACCGCGTGAAAAAAGGACCGCGCTGCTCACTCGAGTGAGCAGCCCGCTCATATACAATGTTACAAATAAAATAATAAGATTAAAATACAATGATTATACGACAAGCATTTTGTGCTGTAGATTCTGTATAATGAATAAGTTTGAATGATGAAAAGACAATCGTTGATTACGAAATGATAAAATATTATCACTATTATAAAATGAACGAATCGATTGATGTTGTGATCGTAACAATAAGAATGGACGTTCACGACATAAATGTGATAGACGAATAAGATTATTCATTGTTGACATTACGCAATGATTGCAAATGTACGATTCATTGAATTAAAAATCTTTTCCGGCTCCGTTTTCTTGTATATGAACTTCAAATAAATAATATTCTTATTGAAACAATTAAATACGATGAAAATCAATCCATTCAATCATTGAAAGAACTGAACAAATTGTTTTTTTAGGTTAAGAGGATTTGATCTTCTTTTACAACCGAATCATGTGTCTGCTGGCTAAAGCAGAATCGTTTTTTAAACAAAACTATTTCCACATAACAAGTAAAATAAATGTCATTTTTGAAATTTAATTTTTTATCAAATGTATTTTGTTTCTGGAACTAATCATTTTTTTAAATAAAAAAAAATCCGCTTATATCAATAATTCTCAAGTTAAATTATAAAAAAAGACTAATTTCAATATAATAATTATAATTGTGACAATAAAAAAATTAAAGGCCAAAAATTGATAAAATCGACAACAAAACATGCAATTTTAAACTTGTATTGACAATGATGATAAAATCAGATTGATTTTACCATGACGATTATTTTCCTGTATATTATTGCCATAAAGTACCCATTGTATGGATGATTTTTGTATTAGAAGATGAGCGCTTAAATTGATCGGAATAAGTACACAATTCGAATCAGAATGATTTAACGGCATGATTGATGAATTCTCATCACCAACAGTAACATCATAGATGGCTAAAGATTCTGTCTGACTAAGATTATGCAATGTAATCACTTGATCAAATAGAAACATTTCGATTTCAATACAAGGTATAACTTCGAAATATAATTCTCGAATAACGGTTCGATTACGACCATCCGGTGATTGATAGCTGAGTTTAAAATAGACAATATGTTCATTAATGTTTGGCGGTATTTGCATCGATAAGTTCAATGGTTGATTTAAATCTTTGATTATGTAATGAGCTTCGAATCGTTCGTCGTTTGATTCATTCAAATTCCATTCATAAAAATCTTTTGTATTCGTACTCAATTGTATCAAATTCAATTCATTATGAGAAACATTCGTTTCGAATGTAATACCAAACGTTAATATTTCTGATCCATATACTTTTTTAGGAATATTGATTCGATTAGTGGTTAAAAGCTTTTCAATTGGACATTCCCTAATACCAAATTGAAGTTCATTAAAGTGAACGTTGAACATGATCAATGGTAACCCATGTATCGACACAAATGCCAATAAGTTTTGTGTTTTTTGTTTGAAAAGATTCTTGAAATTTAATCCATCTATTTGATAACTGAGACCAATAAATGAGAATTCAGATTCGAAATTTGCGATAAATTTCAGATCAAGCAGATTTTTTTCATTTGGTCTAATAGTTATTGGTTCGATGTGAACAACCGGTGTTATATGGTCTGGTTTATCTGGTATAAGTGAAATGTTTGATATGACCAATTCGAATGGAACAATAATGATTAATTGAATGTGCACTTCTTCCCCGACAAAACAAGTGGTTCGAATCAATTTCCGTGGTACCAACGGACTTTTTTCACCCAATTGTATCGAATCAGGTGATTTGAATTCAATCCGATCAATGTATGGAATATCTAAAACGTATAGATTAGATGATTGCACTTGTTGCAACTGTTGAACAGTATCATTGGAATCGATTGGCCAATTATTGGACATTTTTTTCAATTCACGTAAAAATTCATTGAAAAAAAGTTGTTTGTGTGAAAATTTCCTCAAAATTTCCAATCCTTTTTGATAATATTCGGCTTGTTTACGAAAATTGTTTGTCGATGCTATGGATAAAAATAATCGAGCAACAGTTAGATTAACGTGATCGGATGCCGCTTCCCAATTGGGATAATTATAACGACGATAACAAAACAAGGCAAAATGTTTCAAACCACAGCGATTATAACGATGACCAGCCAATATATAGTGGAATGCTGCTTTACGATATCGACAACCTAATGTACTGACACGATCATCGGTGAAAGATTTTTCGATTGCATTCAATAATATTTGACTTGTTGATGATCGTTTCAAAGATAATTTTGGTGACACAGATAAATAACATTTGGATGCTTGTTCAAGAAATAAAGCAGAACGAAGATCAGAATCATCACCGGTCATTCGAATGTAAAGATTGGCCGCATCATCATAACGATGTAATTGGCATAATAGTTCGGATGCCAAAATGGTTGCTCGAGTAGCTAGATTTACCGTACGACAAAGATCAAGATATGTTGTAATCGCCTGTTCCATATGATTGTGTTGATATTTATGAAGGAAATATGAAGAAATCGCGCTCATTTCCGAAGCACCTGCATAATATATCCATGCTGATTCGGATTGAAAATCTTTTCTAGCACCATAATAAAGACTGTGAGCCATTTCATAGATATTAAATATCATACAAATATCGGCCAATTTTCTTTGTTGCATTTCTTGAGCATCAGGAATATAAATAACACCGGAACTTCCTAGCGATTTTGACAGGCCAACAGTCGATGAAGACATATTACTTAGCAATGATTTTGTAGCGCTGAATAAACTTTTGCGAAAACCTCGACGTAGAGCGATTAGTTCACCTAGAATTTTGATTTGCCGTTCAGCCCATGGAACAAGAAATTTGGATATGAATTCTCTGTTAACGAAAAAAACTATCTGAATCAGACAAAGTAAATTTTCAAAAACAAGAAAAGCATAAAATATACCTAAGCATGAAATCTATAGTTTCTGAAACTGAATCTAATAACTCTTTTAAATGATCATGGATGGACAAATGAGATAGCCAATCATTAATAATATCACGTGATTGTAACGAAGGTGTTGTTGTTGAGCTATTATTTTGTTGTTGATGACTTTGTTGGCGCTGTGATTGAAGTTCTTGATAAAATTTGGAATTCTCGTTATTTGTTTCCGAAACAACACTGAGAGGATCGGTAGGATTTATATCACCCATAATGTTTTCATTAATCACGTCGGGTATTTGATTACCAATTGCATCAGTCGTCGATTTGAATGGATCATCAGGACGGGCATTTGATGATGATACACCATTTACATCGATATAAAAAACAAATGAATTTGGAAAATCAAGCTTTAGATTTTGACACGTTTTAGTGAATTCATCGGCATTCGGTGATAATGGAGAATCAAGTATCTGATCACTCAATACAATAAAATATCGAACAAAATCTGCTTGAATGAAACGAAGTGTAGAATTTTGTTTCACCTGTCAATCAATGAGACAATCAATAAAAGCAAAATTTGATATTTGTTACTGACCGATGAGCAAAGACGTTCAAAAATAACTTTATAATGAGGTAATTCAGTTTTGGTTATCACGAAAAAACATCCACAATTTGTACCGATAAAATCATGTTCGGTTGGTTCTAACGTATCGATGAAGACATTTTTCCACATATCATACCAAGGTGTCTCATTCATAAAATTATTATCACCATTATCATCATCATTTTGTTGCATTAAATATGCATTTGACATGGAAGATATAATATCGGAATGAAGTTTTTTTAGCTGTGTTCCATTCGGACGATTTTTAAATTGATCAATATCAAAAAATCTAAACCGAATCTTATTTAGTGCATAGGCATTATGTCCATTAAGATCACGGATTGTCACTTTTGAAAGGAAAAAAATATATTCTTCAATAATGGAAATTCTTTAAAGAAATAATAAAACTCACAATGAAGATTTGCGATCGATGCGAATTGATTTAAAATCGATGCAAATGTTACATTGTCAAAACAATTTCGTACAAATTGTTTGGCATTATCGGTCAATACAAGTACGATATTACAGGAGAATAATTTTGATACAAGTTCTTCAAATGAAGAATTATTACTTGTATTTGTATGTGTTGAAACCAATGATGAAATGGAATTATTACTATTAACATATTTCATTTTTGTCTATTTTTTAAAAAAAAATTCACAATGCTATTCTTTGGAAATAGAAAATTGGTTATTTATATTTATGAAAATAAAAATAAAGCTAACGATTAAAATCATCAATCATCTGAAGAAAAGTCTGGCCATGATTTTTTATAAAGAAATATTTACTAAATATTAAATTGAATTAAAAAAAATATGCCAGGTGTATGGAATAAAAAAATTATAATCGCAATTGGAATGATGAAAAAAAAAATTATTCCAATCATAATGGCTAAATGAACCCTATGTGTTTGATCAAATTAAAATAGCACACACATATACATCGATGTCAGCTTTTTTCTTTTCTCACACTGTTGTAGAGGACATATGAAAATTGTAGTGTCGTCCACACGGATAAATTTCGGTGTTATAAATTTTATTGAATAAAAATCGGTGATAGTGAGGAAGACATTTTGATCCAGGTGATTTAAAATAATTTATTTTTTGTTAATCAAAATTTTCTGCCATTTATAATTGATAAACGATTCATCAAATTTGATCAATGGCATCCATATTATCGCGTTCATCATCGAAATGTTTGGCCAACATAAAAAACAAATCGATTAATTTGGTCAATCAAAAGGTATTTGTTCCTGTACCTATGATTATTTTAATTGTAATTGATTCTTTGTGATTATAAGAACAATGTCTCCTCCTACACGAATGCCAATAATAAACGAAAAATTCTATTGGCTACGGCCGGTGTATTTGGTGCTGGAACTGTCGGTTTAATCTATAGTCTACATCAATCGGTTAAAGCTATTGATATCTATTGTCATCCACCTGATTATCCGTGGCCACATTATGGTATTTTCAAATCATTTGATCATAAAGCGTAAGCTCTTTTCTTTTTAAAATAAAGCGAATTGAAAAAAAATTAGCTATTTGTTTTCAGAATTCGTCGTGGTTATGAGGTATATAAACAAGTTTGTGCGGCTTGCCATAGCCTTAAATTTGTTCGTTATCGTGAATTGATTGGTGTTTCACATACAGAAGATGAAGCCCGTGCTGAAGCCGAAGAGGTAATCATTATTTTTTTAAATTTTTCAATTATTAAAAATATCCTATAATCAAGATACAAGTACAAGATGGTCCAAATGAACATGGTAAAATGTTCATGCGACCGGGTAAACTATCCGATGCATTTCCATCACCGTATCCGAATGAAGAAGCTGCACGTGCTGCCAATAATGGTGCATATCCACCGGATTTGAGTTATATTGTGCTTGCACGACATGGCTATGAGAATTATATTTTCTCGTTGATAACTGGTTATCAAGAACCACCGGCCGGATTTATTGTCGGTGAAGGACAATATTTTAATCCGTATTTCCCCGGTGGTGCTATTTCAATGGCTCAAGCATTGTATGATGAAGCAGTAGAATATTCAGATGGTACACCACCAACAGCATCACAATTGGCTAAAGATGTGACAACATTTTTAGCATGGTGTGCACAACCCGAACATGATAAACGTAAAAAATTATTAATTGACGTAAGTTATCTTTGAAAAAATCAATACTTTTTCATTTTACAACAAAAAAAAAATTTTCAAAATATTTTCGACAGTCTTTGCTTGTATTGGGCGTGATCGGTGCTGCACTATGGTATTGGAAACGACATTTAGGTTCAACGATTAAATCGCGTAAAATTCTTTTCCGTCAACCGCTGTCATCATCATCGAAACCCAAAAATTAGATTACACAAATAAATTAGCTGGAAAAAATGATTTGCATTGGAAAAACAAACAACAATTCTTAATAATTCTAATAAAATTTTTTCAAATGATGTAAGATGATTTTAGCGCATAATGATGGGCGAGAAAAAAAATTTATAAATAAAAATAATTATTCAAAAAAAAAAAATCTTTAATTTTTCATAAATTTTTAACAAATCATTACGAGTCAATAAAAAAAACGATTCGTACATCTGTTGTTTTTCATTCATAAATAATAATTTGTACGACAGAAAAAAAAATATGAACAGGAATATATAAAATTTGAATGAATCTACCAAATATGATTCAATCAAAATTGAACAAAAAAAAATTGATCACAATTTCTGAGAAAGATTCATGCAAAATATGTAAATTGTAAAATGGTCGAATGCAGCATTTGTAAGAGTGAGAAAGAAAAAGTTTTTTAAAAATAAGATGAAAGAATTTTATAGAAATTACAGAAAAAAAAATATCATTTAAAAAAAAATGTCTCCACAATTACAATGATGATCAAACACATCCAAACTATAAATTAAAAAAGAAAAATTGATTAATTTAATTGCTTACAGAAAATCAATAGAATACATACCCCCCTTTTAAAACATAAAATATTAATTATTGCACTTGTAAAAGAAACGAACATTACATAATAATTGATTTAATTTTGAACTAAATGTTGGAAAATCAATCTGTATTTGTTGTTGATGTGTCAGATGATGATGCTGTTGTTGCTGTTCTATTTTAAAATTTGTCATCAATTCTAATCGCTGTTGATCATTCAAACGTGATAGATTTGATAAAAATTTAGGCATAAATGATTCATAAAATTGTATAAAATCAACTTGAGCCATATGAAATATAATGGTAAATAGTGATTCTTGTAAAAGATCCAATGAATGATCATTTAATGTTTGCATAAATAAATATAGAAATCGTTCCCAGAATTTTTCACGAAAATTTAAACGTTCATATAGTTTTAATTTTTGATTCATTGATTCTAATGAATCAACATTTTGTCGAAATAAATGTATATTTTCTGGCTGTAAAAATGATTCGCCAATAATTTCCATTATCGAATCAAAATGTCTTTGCTGTTGACTATCATGATAATTATCGTTTGATGATTTAATCGGTGATGTTGTTGTTGTTGTTGTTGTTGTTGGCACAGTACATAGTTGCTGTTGTTGTTGTTGTATTGAATTAAGTCGTTGTGGAAAAAAATAACGGCAGTTATTGAGCAAAAGCTCATACAAAAAACGATAATAAACTTTTAACATTTTATGATATATATCATAATGAAATCCGGTTGAATTTTTAAAATAAATTGTCATTGGTGATTTTGAATTAATCATAGTTGTTTGAATTCGAATCACAGCAAAATCAATAATATCCGGTAATATTGTTCGGATAAATGAATTCAACGATGGTTGTCCAATGACAAGAATTAATAATTTTAAAAATTTAATTATCACCCTTAAACCAGGCCATGTTTCACTATTATTTGTGTTTGAATTCGTTTGAGATAAATTTGTATCTCTAGAAATCGGTGTCATAAAATTATGACGATTTATAATCTGCAACAATGTCTGTATAGTTCTTTCGACAAAATCCGTATGAATACGTGATAATAAAACTTTAAATACGACAATGAATAATGCAAGGATATGTTTAGTTATTTGACAACCGATAATGGTCGAATTTAATAGTTGATTATGTGCCAACAGCTGTATGAATGCTTCTAATGATGAATTTAAACTGATTAATAACATTTGTTTACTTTTCAAGGGAGATTCTGAATGTGATTTTATCACTTGTTTTAATATGTACAATGATCGACAATAAACATTTGGACATTTGGATGTTTCATCAATACTTTTATCTTGAATTGTTGTAACAATGATACGATTCGAATCATCAAGATCAATATTGTTGAATAAATGCAAAAAATTTCCAATAAACATATTAAAACATATGGAACGACGTTCCCAATTTTGTTCTTCATTCGATAGTTGAAACCATGGTAAAATCAAGAAATTCGAAATTGATTGTGAAATTAAAATTTTATCAACAAGCGGTGGCATTGATTCACATTTTCCTTTGTCCGAAACGTTTAATTGAAGCAGATTGGATTGAAAATTTTGATCAAAAAGTCGTTGTACAGATTGTAAGTTGAATACAAACGATGGTCGAACATTTGCTGAAAATGTATTCAATGTCAATGCTGCACTATGAAACATTTTCTTTTTTGCATCCGAACATTTTGAAATTCGCGCCAATTGTAAATCACTGTTGGCTGTAATTGAATGTTGATGATCGATTAATGATTGAGAACAATTATTTGTATCACAGATAATCGAACAACAAGTATTGATTATGATGGTTATATGATCAATTGCTTGAGCTAATTGAATCGAATGTTTATCACTGGCACAGCAAACTTGTTGATACCATACGATATAAGCTTTAAACGTAGCAATAATTTGTGCTTTAAGCAAAAGAAATTCGCTTAACAATGGATTCGTTGTTGTGGTTTGTCCATGAAGATCATCATCGAATTTATGTATTTCAATAAAATGTAAAATCTCACAAAGTTTATCAAATTTCATTTTAGTACGAATAAAATATTTTTCAAATTGTATGTCGATAAAAAAATTTGCAAAACGTGAAAACATCTGAAGTGTAATGATAAAATCTTCTAAATGTAATTTTAATTGTTCGATTGGAATATGATTATGATTATTTGTAGGTGATGAACAATATGATTTTCCATTCACCATCATCATCGATGATGATGATGATGATGATGATGATAGAGGTTTATTATTGTTGTTTACTAAGAATTCAAGACCATAATATAGATTCTGTAATTTTTCATTATAATAATTATCAATATAACTGATTGTTTCTTCTGGATAAATATCAGCTATTTTAGCCACAATTTCAATCGATCGATAAAAATAATTTTGCAATTCTGTACGACTATCATCTTCAAGTGTTTGATCATCTAAATGTTTAAGATAATCATGATTACAACTATATTGTATGGAACGTAAAATAAACAACAAAAACGATAATATAGGTTCTTTGATTGATTCGAATTTTTCATCCATTATTGATCTTTTATCTTTATGATGTTTATTACCAGTTATTTGATTAATATAATTTTCAAGATAATCAAAATAAACTGACCATGTATCCAATAACATTAGATAACATTCATATGAATGGCACATTTTTGTAGTGAATTCAAATAATAATTGAAGAAAATCTTTTGTTGGAAATGATATAAATTTTTCAAAACGACCCAAATGATTACTGATAAATAATTTTAAAAAATCAATAAATTTTTTCAAATAATCTTCATCAATTTCATCGAATCTTGTTTCACCATCATTCGGTGATTTTAACGATGATGAAACAATTAATTGTAAAATTATAAATGTATTATGAAATACATTGTAAATGAATTCGTTTGCTTCCGAATCAAATGTTGATACTTTTGATATTAATTCATTAATACAGTTCATCGAGATCAGGCCTAATTTTGATGAATTATATGATGGATTTATTGAACCAAATGTTGCCAAAACATAAAGAGCCGATAATAATGTAGAATTGATTGATTGAAAATAGCTTACAGGCATAAAATCAATAATTTGTGATAGACAAACAAAAATCTGTGATGTAAGATGAACAAATTCTTGGTCCATTTCAGGTATGGAATGTAATAATCCTTTTTTTAGACTCATTTGAAAGACATTACCTAATGTATCGTTGGCTGTGAAAAAAAACAGAATTGAAATTAAAAAAATTAAGTTTTTTTTTGTTTGTTTGTATGTTTGAAATAATGACACTTACATTTGGTGATGTGTGAAAGAATATTCGGTGGACTACCGGCATTACTTCGGCTACTATTACTACTACTATTACTATTCTGATTATGTATCGATGTTGGTGATGGTGGTGGTGTAGCCGAATAATAATTAACATGTTTGGAAATAATTGATTCTAACAATAATGTTAATGCTTGCAACATGTTTGGTAATTGTGATTGCAAAATTCTGACCAATTCAATTGTGCCAGTAAAATGATTATGATGATAGGATTTATTTGATGATAATTCTTCAACAGCTGTTCCAAGTAGATTTAATCCCAATAAAATTAATGTAGCCGAATGTAATATATTCTGTCCAGGATCAGGTGTTAATAATTCAAGAATGTTTGACATAAAATCCGGATATTGATAAGGCCAATCATAACGGGCAATTGTGACTAATATTTTACAAAATTTATTACGAATTGCCGGTGTAATATTAGCATGATTTTCAAACAAATGTTTCCATAATGAACTACGAAATGATTGACGAATATCTGTTGATAATGTATGCCATCGTTGATTAATAAATGATTCGATAACGGTAAGGCAAAACATTTTTGTATATTCATTTGATGTATGTTCAAAATAAACAAATGATAATTGCCATGAATTTGGTGTGTTGGAAAATTCTGCTAATGATTGTTCAATTTGTCGTTTACGTTCATTACAGGTAATTGGTAGAAAAAATTCACTAATTAAACTTTCTAAACGTAACAATGATTCTCTATCAATATTTTGAAATGATTGAACAACAGGACAAGAATTATTATTTTTGATGATAAAATTATCACTAAATTGATGAGATGTTGGTTGCTGTTGTCCATTGATCAACAGCAAAGATTTATTATTATTTACTTCGGCCATGATTGAATTTGCATGCATGTGTGTGTTTGAAAAAGTCAAATAAAATATATCGAATGGATGTGTGTGTGAACAACAACAAACAAAAAAATTTAAATCAAAATTTTGTTATTGAGAATCATAATGGCCAGAAAAATCTGGATCAACAAGAATTCGAGATTCGAAACAAAAAAAAATGAGAACTGAGAATTCTGTAATCTTTGATCATGATTAGATTGTTAATTTAGTTGAAACAATAAAATAAAATTAGAAAAAATTTAATCGAATGAATTTGTTGTTGTTGTTGTTCGTTTCCATTGAAAGGAAATACGTTTGATGATAATTGTTTCAATTCGATTTAATATTATTGTATCACTGCTATATTGAATGAATGTGTTAATGACAAAATATAGTAGTTTTGTTTTGTTTTTTTGGGTTGTGCCACCATTCGAAATGGTGATGATGTAAAAAAGAAAAAAAAATTTAGTTGAAAAAGAGAAACAAAAAAATTATGATCAACCAAATACAAACATCAAGGATAATTTGTCTTTGTAAATTATCTTTTTTTTTCGTGGCTATTGACGTTTTTTTTTCTTCTTTTACTTTTCTGTTCATACACACGAAGATAGATTTTACAAAAAAAAATACAAAGGTCTTTGTTCGATATTCTTCAAAGAATCTTGTAAATGCAGAAGAAGAAGAAGAAGAAGAATAAAATCTGATTGTTGAATGGGAAATGATTTTTTCTTTTGAATAAATTTGGCCCAAATTCTAGCATTTGGGTGTGTTTTGCAGGTTTTAGTGTCTGAATTGATGTCCATAGGATCCACTTTTTCAATGAATCATGATGATGATTGAATGAATGAATGAATGAAAATGTGAGTGGAACATTAAAATGTCCAAAATTATTTTATACAGTCACATATTGGATATAGCGTTTTTGTCGTCTTGTTGCAATATCTCAAGGATCAAATACACTGAGTGGATATAACTGATTTGAGTATGTGTGTGTGTGTGTTTTGCAGACGCGTTTCTCAATCCATTTTTTTTGTTTTCAACATTATTCTTTTTCCTCATCCTCCTCCTCCTTTTTTCGTGGATACATTTCTTCTGTGTGTGAGATACAATGTTATATTACAGTGAACCGCTACTTTACTTAGTTAAAAGGCAAACAGATGATAGTAGCAAATTATTCGCCATTATGGTAGTAGCATTATTCTATTCTATGAATACTTTTTTTTTGGATACATAGATCCACCACGTGATACAAAGAATCATTGTTGGCTATTCTTTCGAGCAAATTTTTCAGTTTTTTTTTGGTTTATTTTATGTTAACAATTTAAAATTGATTGATTTTGATGATGATACAGAAAAAAGTTCAACATCTTGTTGCCGATTCCGGTGCCTTTATATTCAATTGTCCATTACAGGTTAATTAAGGTTTATTTATTAATCAAATTTGTTTTTCTAATGAATTTTCTTTTCTCACATTTAATTGTAGGATTATGGTGAAACAATTTATACACTAAATGATGTTGTCAATGAAATCAAAGATGAAAAAACACGTGAATCATTACAGATTCTTCCATATGAATTAAAATATCGTGAACCAACTGATGAAGATATTAAATTTGTTGCCTATTTTGCTAAAAAAACTGGCGATTTTAATCAACTATCCAAAACCGATATCCGTTTGATAGCTTTGACCGTACGTCTAGAAAAAGAAATAAATAAAGGTATTAACTTGAAAGAAAATCCCGATATCAAAATATTGCCAACAAAATCATCAAATTCAAATTCTTTGACAGTAAAAGATTTAGAATTATTTGGTTATGATGTTAAAAATGGTGCAATCATTGATTCAATCGATAAAAATGAAACACAAGAAATCAATGAAATCAAATCGGAAAATGAACCTGAAACAGATGGTCCACCAGTTGATGATAATGATGATGATGATGATAATGGTTGGATTACAGAGGAAAACTTTCAGGAAATTCGTGATAAATTAATGGGTATCAAATTCGATGAAGATGAAGACGATGATGATGAATTGACGGTAGCATGTATAACGGGTGATTTTGCTATGCAAAATGTTCTCATGCAAATGGGATTGAATGTTGTATCACCAAAAGATGGTCTACATATTCGACAAACACGACAATATATAATGCGATGTCATGCATGTTGCCGAATTAATCCATCGACAGCCACGAAATTCTGCAAATATTGTGGTAATTGTCAAACGTTAAAACGTGTTGCTATTACAATCAACAAAGATGGTACGGTAAAAATGCATATAAATTTTAAACGTCCAATTCGAATTCGTGGTAAAAAATATTCATTACCAATGCCACGTGGTGGTAAACATGCTAATAATCCAATACTTTGTGAAGATCAACGAATACCACAACAACGTAAATCAAAAACTGCTGTTGAAGAGAAAAAATTATTGAATATGCAAACAATTCTAACTGATCCAGATTATCTTGTACGATCAAATCCATTCGCTATCAATGATGTTTATAGTCGTGCATCAAGAATGATACCGAAACAACGAAAACAAATCAATCCAAATGAAACAAAAAAACCAACAGGCAACAGAAAGAAATCGAATAAAAATTTTTAATTTTTTGAAATAAAATTACTTATTTCTTGTGTATTAATAATGATTATTGAATTTCATTTTCCTTTCAAAAAAAATCGATCCATTGATGATGATTGTTTTGCCATCTATCGGGAACAAATTAAAAAAAAACCATTTTGTTTGTTGCTCGATTGTCGTGATCGTCGCTTTCGTCGTCGTTGGTTGTAATGTTGATAATGATGATGATGATGATGGTGTTGATCGGTTGTATCATTGAGCGCCACCTATACACCACGCACACTCTCTCAAATTATTAAGCAGCCCCTTTTTTTTCATTATTTCCAATTCATTCCATTCATTTATCTCCATCTCCAAAGAAAAAAAAAATATATATATTCCAACAACAACAACAACAACAACAGTATCATCACTTTGTGTGTTTTGTTGTTGTTGTTTTTTTTTCTAACCAAAAAATTCACTGTGTGTAATCATTATTCTTTCGAGATTCATAATCTATAGATGATTTATTTATTAATTAACCAAAAAAAGCAATTAATATATTGATGATCAATTAGAACGACAATTGTTGTTGTTAATTTGTTTGTTTGTTATTGTTGCTGATCTGAATTTGATTCTTTCTTTTTTTTATATATGGAAATTCTTAATATAATGATAATGATTTTTTTGTAATTTGTAGTCGACTGATACAAAAAAAAAGAAAAGAAACCAACAATCGTATATGGTCTTCGAATCCATCTATCTATATTCATAATAATTTGAAACTAATCGATTCGATTTATAATGTTTTTCATTATCATCATTTGATTTATTTGATTAAGAAAAAAAGAGTAAATTTTGGGAAATTTCATCAAAGTAAGCTATAGCCATATATTTTATATTTTAAAAATTAATAATAATTTTTCAAATATTTATTTCCAATTCAATAGGTCATTCTGGTCATTCACATATATTTGAATGACTTTTTTTTCATCTTACTATTCTAGTTGTCATCAATTTTTTGTTTATCTTGAATTTTCAATTTTCAATAGTTGAAAAATAATTTATCCGTTTGAATGAAAGATTATAATTATTTCGATCAAAATAATTTTATTAACAACGAAAGTAATCAGATAGGCAACGAAGACGACGATTGTTTTAAACAGCATCAAGTACCGTTGACAACATTATCATCACCTATCATAATGATGAAACCATTACAGCAAGAGGAAATATTTTCATATTTTAAAAGCCTATCCGGAGCTAAACGTATTGAAATGGTTTGTGGATTAATTTCAATGTGCATTCCATTGGAAATACGTTTTTTCGATAATGTCATACAAGATATGGTCAAACGTGATTATAATTCATTTAGAGATGCAGAAATCAAAGCAAACACTTTTCAAGAATTAGATACTGTTTGTAAATGTGATCTTTTATTGGAAAAAGTTTCAACAACAATAACTACAATCGGTACTACTACCGATAATCAAATATATTATGATGATGGTATTATTAATAATACGATACCGGCAGCGGTGATAACTAATAATAATGAAATGCAAAATGATAATGTAACAACTACATCGTCATCTTCGTCGGCCATATCGATAACATCATCAGCATCATCACAATCAAATAATCGTGATTCAAATACGACAACACCGACAAATAATAATAATAATAATAATAATAATAATAATAATGAGAATAAAAATAATGATAATGGCAAATTGACAAATTCAAATAATATAATTGCCAAAAGTGTTGATCAATCACAACAACAAACAATCGGTACAACAACAACAACAACAACACTGACAACGATGGCCGCAACGAATCAAAATATATCATCAAACATTGCCAGCTTTCCATCACGATCTAAATTGATAATATCATTGTGTCTGATGAATCCAAGTAATAGTCATTGTTCATCAATTGTATTCAATGCTATAAGAAAACAATTGTCACATGAAAATATTTGTCAAGTAGTCGATCAAATCTATCTACCTAAAAATCAGAATATTGATGATTTATTTTCTGAAATATTATTATTATTAACGATGGCAATGTATCATCCTGCGTTTACCTATGAACAACGTGATCTATTGGCCAGTCAAAAGAAAGATATTGAACAGCTTTATTATAATATTATCAATTATTTGCGTGCACAACAATTTTTAGCTTGTCAAGCAGCCGTAGCGGCTGTTGCAAATCAACAAGCGGTTCCAGTTCCCGCTCAGCCAATTGCTGTTGCTGTAACTGGTTCCAATGCAACGATACCGGTACCGATTGTTGCAACATCGGCTACTGTAATTCCATCATCTGGTCAACAACAATCGAATTATCATCCAAGAGCCACCACGCCAGCTAATCCATCGGCCGGTTCTACTGGTAATGACAGTGGAGGTACTAATACCAATGCTCAGCAGCAGCCATCTACGCAAGCAAATGCTTTATCTGCTCATCTAGCACATCAATATCATCACAGTTATCATCAATCAGGTACTTCCGGTGGTCACAAACCTCATCAACATCATCATCATCATCATCATAATGCTGGTGGTGGTCCTACATCAGCTGTAACGCATTTAGGTCCTCAAGTTGCACCTGCTCAACAATATATTCCATTTATACAAAGTCCATTGGGTGCCAATATAACTTTTACAGCGACGGGACCACCACCACCACCGCCACCAATACCATCAAATGCGACTAATGCTGTTATACAGAATATTGCAATGCTAAAGATGAGTTCACCACAACCACAATCATCGACACAATCACAGCAACAACAACAATCATCATCACCATCACCTTCATCAATATCACCGGCATCCTCAGTGTCAAGTAATAAATTACCACCTCAACCTGCAGTTGTACAGGTTATGCCACAAACAGCAACAACAACTCAGATCGGACAGCAATTCATAAAGTTGGATTCAATGTATACGACAGCCAATCTGGCTGGTGGTCCATTGATTGCTGCTGGACCATCACCTCCAAATTCATTGATTGTTGTCGATCGAAATGCTACAACCGGTACGAATGTTATTCCAACAGGTCCGACAATGTGTTTACATCATACGCAATTATTAGTTGATGATAAATCATCAACAACATCGATAACTTCATCAGCATCCTGTTATAATTGTGGTAATATTGGACATCGTGGTACAGAATGTACAACTGGAACTGGAGATTGTAGTGGCGATCATTGAAAAGAATTTGAAGATTTTAATGTAGATAATCGTTTTTTTTCGAACGAAATTCTGGTAATATTTTTGGATCCATCCATACAGTAGTAGCTGAAAAGCATTAAAAATTATCCAAAATGAAATCCATTTTATTCAATTTAAATCTTATCAAACTTTATCAATATTAGAACAGCCATTTTAAGGATATTACTTGAACAAACAAACAAAAAAAAAATGGAAAAAACGAAAAAAAAAATTCAAAATGAGTGCCAGAAATTTTTCATAATTTTTGTATAATCGATGCCATCACAAAAAAAACGAAAAAAAAAATCTAATCGGTCTCATCATCATCATTGTTATATTTCATCTCATAATTCATTTTTTTTTTAATTTTTAATTATTTTTATACACTTTCACACACACACACACATAAACATTCATTACACAATTATTGTTTGATTATGATTTTCATTGATAATTTGAATGAATTTTTAATTTTTTTTCAATTTTTAATTTTTATTTTTTTTTGAACAAAAACATACTTGTTACATTGACTTGATGTTGTTGATTCCATACGGGGAAAAACAAGCAAAAAAATCCAATTTTGTCATCATTCATCATTTACACACACAAAATACATTTAAATATAATGTGGATAAATGAAAAGTTATCATAAAAATTATCATTATCATTATTATCATTATCATAATCATCATCATTTCTATCGCTGAATTATTTTTCATCAATTTGGAACCTTTATATTTTTTTCTTTCTCTCTTTCTGTCATTGTTGTGATTTTATTATTGATTGATTGATTGATTAATTCTCATTCAATTTTTTTTTTGCATTCTTTTTTTCTTTTTCTCATAAAACAAAATAAAATAAATCATGTGTATTGTGTCATTTGTAATAAATGAAATAAATAATTTTCTTGTCAAATTTTTTATCTTTATTTTCACATGTAGAATAAACAAACGAAAAAAAAACAGATTAAAAGAATCACAAACTATAAGAAATTTTTAAGGCTTTTTTGATGATTTTTTTTGTGGTTGTTGTTGTTTTGCTTGGAGATTGTGATTTTCTGTTTCAAAATAAACTGAATCATGGACATTAGGATTAAGTAGATGTGGGTGATAAGTGTTTTTGGTTTTCAAACAACAATGATTCTACGACTAGTTTGAATAGAATTTTAATAAAAATTTTTTTTGGAAATATTCGTGGAAATAATCGAAAATCGATGCAGATTCCAAATTTATCTTGATTTGATTTATGGGGCGAAAAAAACGGGATGAAAATGTTTACTTTTTTGAATATCACATTGTTTTTTGAAATTTAAAACAAGAATTTTTAGGACTAGTAACGAATTTTTTTTTTGAATCTTTTTATGAAGACCTGGAAGACATTGATGATGATGATGGTTTTGATGAGAAAAGAAATCCAGAAAATTTTTTCTGCTGTGATTGATCGAAAAATTCTTCCGGTATATCATCATCATTCATAACAAGATCATATCTTCCAGGAACATTATTTGATTGTTGATCATCACCATCTTCAAATTGATATTCAAATATAATATCATCATCATCATCATCATCATTACCTTGATTATTCTGTCTTTCTGCCGGCATTGGTTTATTGAATGGCCAAAAAAATCGCTGTGATAAACGTGCTGAATATGATGAGGATGAAAAATTGAATGCAATACCTAGAACAACATTCAATGCTGACATATCATAATGATGGCAACCACTATAACGATAATGTGGTTTTTTATCTAATCGACATGTAGATCGCCATTGACTGCCTAATGGTGAAATACAATCACTTGTCAAGGCACAACGAACCCAAGGTAACATGATTCCCCATTCGAATGGTTTCCATGTTTGATCATTGATGGTAATCATCAAATGACCCGGTCGAATCATTCGATGAAAATAAAAATTCTCTTTAGTTGTATGAAAATATTCAAACATTCGTGGATGTGTCAATGCTGATGTTGGTTGTTCAATCGGCCATGATAATATACCAGATTGATGGAGAATTTTTGATTGTAATTGTTCAATAATCGAATGTTTGGAATCAATAAAATGATATTGTGGATCTAACCAAATTATTGTCGTTGTATCATTGATATTACGATTAAATATTTTGTCTTTTTTGTCGTTATTATTAAGGATATTATTTTCATTGTTTTTAATCATTTGTTTTCGACGATATTGTCTTGTCAATTTGATATCACGTAACATTTCTTGTATGATAATTGAACGATATGCAGCCATTCGTAAATCGGAAACATGTGATGGATAGATATCATATTGAAATGTACGAATTGTACATAATATTTGTTTTCCATTTCTTTTCGGTTGTTGACATAGTCTTTCAATCTATACAAGAGGGAAAGATGAAAAAATTGCGTGACATTTTTTTTCTTCTATTACTTACTTGACTCAATTGATCGGGATACAAACCAAGATCATAAATCATAAGCTCAAAATTCAATAAATTTTTGCCAATTTTGCGAAAATGTCCAAAAGAATTGATGAAACTTTTACCCAATTGAAATTGATTTGAATCGATTGCCGTTATAAATATGATTGATTCAAGAAATTCATCGGATAATAAACCGGAAAGATTTTGTGATTTTGATTTTGTTTGAGCATGACGTTGATGATAAAAACGTCGATTTGATTTAATTTTTGTTGTTGAAAATGATGAATCTTCGATTGATTTAGCCATTGATGCCATTGTTAAATTATCTGGATGATTACGTGCATATAGATAAACGATATGTTTAAGATTGAAACCTAATTGCCGTAATTGATATTCAATACTACTTGAATCAAATTCATCATCATCATCATTAACATAATCGTCAACATATTGATTATTATTATTATCACGTTCTTGAAGATATTTATTGAATGAATTTGATGATAATTTTAAATTATAATCAATATTATCATCAATTTGTGTTAGATTGTCAATCATATTGACCAATTTATATAATTCAATTGATCGGCCATTATTATTATTGATAATAGGCACTGAATTATGTTTTTGTTTTGTGGAAGTGTCAACAACAAAAACAGGATCATTATTAATATTATTATTATTATCAAATATCATTAGATGAAAATAATCAAGATAATATTGATTAATCATATGTATCACTTTATCAATAATTGTCTGTTTAGATGATGATAATAATAATAATAATGAATTCGATACCTTATCTTCTTGTTGATTATTATTATTATTATTATGATGATGAACATTATGTTGATCATTAATGTTTTGATTATTATTAATAAGATTATTATCATGATTATTATTGATGGAAATCAATGGTGTTTGTAGATGATGATAATCATAATATGTTGAACGATATGAAATAAGGCAATATAATGTTGTTGTTATGGCCAATATACAAATAAAATATAATGATAAACGAAATTTTCCAATTGAAAACATTGATATATGATGATGATGATTATAAAAATGATTATGATGATTATTATTATGATGAAATGATCCGTTTGTTGGTGATGATAATGGTCCAATATTATGATTATTCAATGAAGACCATGATGAATAAAGAATATTCATACGTTGAGATGAAAATAATGAATTGAAAATTTTGTTCGCCGATGGTTTCATTTTCGAGATGAAAATTTTTTTGCTGCGGGAATGTTTCAAAATTTTATTTCACCATCAAAACAAATGGAAAGACAATGATGGAAATTTTATTATTATTGTTATTATTGAAAATCATACGAAATTTCATCATTTATGTTTTCTGTTTTGTTTTCACAACCATTTAAAAATCTTAAAAAAAAAGAAAAAATCAACACAGCTGAATTTTATTCATCAATAAACGAATGAGAGAAAAAAAAAGAGAAAGTGATTTTAAAAAAATCGAAGGTTAAATCATGATCGAAAAAAAGGTGACATTTTGGATTCGATATATTTTCTGTTCGAATTCATTGTTCTTTTTTTTTTTTTTTTTTTTTTTTTGGGGAAAAATTCAACGATTCAATTTAAAAAAATTTGTTTTCATAAAAATTTTTTTT